ACGCGAAATAACAATTTCGCCGGGACGAGCCGTCCCCCGGCTCGGAACTTATGTTTTCGCCCCTCGACCCTGCCTTTTCTACTTTTTATCTAACCTCTCCCGTCCGGACGGTCCTCCTTTTTCCGACTGACGCTTAAATCGCACCCGGACTACCGACGAAACCGGGGGAACGGGATGAATTTATAATTCCCGCCGGCCTCAGGTCTCGGATAATTTCGACGCGGGAAAAATTCGAGACTGGTCTCACGATTTCAGGGAATTACCATCCTCCGATGAGATTTGGATTTGGGCGATTACGAACGCTCCATTCGTGACCGTATTCAGTGCGATTTCTCGGTGTAGTCATGAAAGGAGTCTTCTTTTCTCTACTTACAAACTGAAGCTTTTGTACACGTACATTATACTTGAAAAACATTGTATTAAAGATGATTAATGAGCAAACATAAAATAAGAATCAGTATTTCGGTCTAGTAGCATGAGGAATAAAACTCTTAGGAGTTAGTAAATTTTCAATATCAAATCTGAAGATACAGAAATAAGGATTAAAAACGTTGAGCAGGAACAAGAGGCTTTCGAATATACAAATTTACTTAATTAGACACGTATTGGAAAAACGTTAAGTAAAAAATAATACAAACACGAACATATACGACTAATGTGTGTTTATTTAATGTGTGACTTTGTTTTTACTAATATATTAAATACCTCAGAAAAATTACAATTTTTTGCAATTTTTTTTTTCGATGCTTAATATAGCAAGTGCATTTAAAATTTGTGCGTGCGTTCTGCACGCATGCTTGACCTAAGATAATTTTTTATTAATTTTAATTTGCTGAAAGAGCGCTCACGCAACCTCATCCACCCGTACTGGTTCAGGTTTCGTGAAGTAGCTTGCATAGAACGAAATTATTTGTTGATACAGTACATTCAATTTGATAATATTTAAACTTTGATTGTTGAAGGAAATGCATATTTTTATCGAAAAATAGATATATATTTATAATAGATATATAAATATAATATAATATATAATATATAATATATAAATAGATATATAATTCCCGATAAAATGTACTTTTCGTCATACTGGCAACGATAGGAATATTGTCAAGTTTCAATGTGCAGGAATACATTATTTCTTGAGTTTTTTTTTTTAGTTTCTTTAGTTCTTGATCATGTTAGAGCCCCGTCAATCGTGAGGCCTCGGTGCATAGCATCCACCGCATCCCCCAGATGGTCGGCCCTGCCTGCCATTCCTCAATAACACCTATGCTAGCCATAGTTACAAATAAACATCTAAAGAGCTATCTTCTATTCTCTTTCCCATAAAGCTATAAAATATTGCCTCTGAAAAACCTCGAATCTCGAATTTCACAAACTCTACACTCCTCGCTTAATTAAAAGAACCAATTTCAAATACACGACAATCTAAACTCTTGGCTCAATTAAATAGCATACAATCACTTGGACCGATTTGAAGTTGCAACGTAACACAGAAGCAACGTCCTGACGGGAAATTGCGCAACACTCGAGCGAGCAATCGTTTTTCCCAGTCAATAAAGCTCGAACGTCTCTCTCGGGCAAAGAGAGATCGTTCATAGAAATTGTTAAGTCCGCGACAGTGGAGCCTCCGAGTGCCTCTAATAAAGCTGACGACGTGGAATCGGGGTCGGACGGACTTTTCGGAATTTTATCGGGACCGTCTGAATGTCGACGATAAATCACTAGTTTTTATTCCAGCTAGACCACGACAACGAAGACGTCGACGAGGAGGAGAGGATGAAAGGGATGAAGATGCTCGCGTTGAAACTGCAGCGACCACAGAATTCTTGCATGCGGCGAAATCAGAACTGCTGACCGAGCTCCGTGACTGAATGCATCTACCTCTATGAATACACGTGCATGTGCATCGGTGCATACGGCAACCAGGCACAGGAAGAGGCCATGGTTCGCTTGAAACATGTGCCGCGTAGGGATGCACGCGTGCATAGACCGGTGTGCATTTTCGCCAGCGAGACCGGCAGGGAGTTTGGCTCATTTTCGATTTTCTCCTGCCTGGCTGAAAAATTGTAACAGAGGCTCTTCTCTGTTAGGGATCGCGATTCCCGACATATCGGTTTACCGGGCAATAGTGGGAAATTCTTTAGAATTTTTAACGGTAACCAAAAATTTATTCGAGAACTATTATGTTGGATAAATAGAGTCATTTGATACTGATTCGGATTCTTAAAGTAACATCTTGAATTTTTATGAAATTTTCATGCGTTGGAGTCTTTAGTAGTACTTGAATGCCCCTCGAAGGATTTTTAATTCTTTGCACTCGAGAGGTGAGTGTCAGTCACCGTTAGGTTTCACGCTGCAAATCTACAATTCCTAATGTTTCTTTAGGTTTAATTTCTTTGGAGCTCGAAGTGTCAATAAAATGATTATCGGTGACCTTATTCTAAAATCTAGATACCTTAGAATTCATGGGAATAGAATGCTAAGAAACATTTCGAGTTGCTGGTAGATAAACCAGAAAAAAAGGCCTCGAGTGCAAACGGTTAAAAAATTTCGAAAAAGGTTTTACAGCTGTTTAGAGATCTGTGCTTTTTTCCAAAAAATTATGGAAATTAAGGACCAGGTTAATAATTATACTTTTTGAAAAAAAAGATATCACAGAATTTTAAACAGGTGTAAGACCGACAATATTCAACATTCTTTAAAAGTTTTCGAGATACATTCAAATACCAGTAATACAACAATCGGTGTGGAATGACTCATATAGAAATTAAAATTCATTTTTAATAAAACAATTAACGAAATTGTTTAAATGTTTAATTAGTTACGAAGCAATAATCATACGTTTATTATTATATTCTTTTCTCGCAAAATAGTGATAAAAATGAAATGTACAAAGGTTTAATTAACTATTACAGCTAAAGTGAAACATTAACTACAAACCGAAAGGAATCATATCGAAATTAAAAGTTATCAAATTCAGTATAATACAAATTTACTTATTTAGATTCTTTTTTAATATTCGAGTACATAGAGGTACAATTTTCGTTATTATTATTATTTAGTATTTTTTGGTTTTAATATTCATAAATTCTCTTTCTAAAAAAGAATCGTTAATAACTTACCACTAAACCGATATTGACAGGATATTTTATCGAATACTTGATAATTGAAAAAGTTAAATTAGCAACCTCCAGTTTTTATTCAGGAACCTTAATTTTTTGCTAGAGCCAACTGCAACTGTTCTGTGGTCGAGCTTCCGATGAGAAACGCGAAACTAGAAAGTGTCGAGCGTCGAAAAAATCTGTGATCACATACGTTTTATACTGGTCTGGATTAAGCAGGATTAATTAACGCTTAGACAACCAAACGATTTTATTTTTTGTAAAACATCCCGTGGAATCTTTGAAATATAACGATACCTGTAATATAATAGTGATATAATTATTAATTAGGTGTTTAATCAGATAACATTATTTGTTAGAGCAAAAATGACATATGAACGAATGAATTTATTTTTATATGAACTACATCGCTACATTAATAATATATTATTTTGTCTAAAGAAATATTGAAGATTTTAAAATCTTGTGAAATATTACTATGAAAAACATGATTAATCATCTGAATATTTACTCCTTCTAATCAATCATAATTTTTGTCATAATAATATCGTACAAGATTTCGGGAACTTCGGTATCTTAAAAAATAAAATGATATTTTATTATATGTAAGATCAGAGTTGTCTCTTTATTTATTTTTTTTTAAATAAACAAATTATTATTTGCATATAAAAAAGCAAGTTCTCTCGAGAAAAGCCTTTCAGAATTCATTCACCAACAAAGAGTATTTGTCGAAAGGGTATACACTACGATTTTTTCAACGTTTCAACAATATCTCGAGTGCGCGTTTCTCGATCCTATTGTTACACATGTATTGATTTATGTATCTTGTTGTTCCAGCTGCAACGAAATCTCGTCACTGTGAATATTCCCGCCGCTTTGCAAACACCGAGAAAACCTGAGTTTCGGTTATGGAAAAAATACGTATAAAAAGAATCGCGCGCCTTCATGCACGCGCAAAGGCGAAAAATTTTTCGCGAGATAATTATATTAGTTTTATTTCTCGAGATTCGTTTCACTTTTCTCGGTATTTGCGATTTGACAACTGCTTCGCTAATGCCAGGGTGTCCCAGAAATTATTGAACATTTGGCAAACTGTATTTATTAATGAAATCTACGACGAAATCTAATTTCACGGACGATGATTCTTCTACAGTCTACTTGCATTCCTTTGCAATGTGATGTTGGTTTTTTTGGTTTCAAGATATAAAGTCCAGTACATAATTAACAATTTTTAATTATTCATAATTGTATTATTAAAACTGTAATTCATCCAGATGTATAGGAGTGAAATTGAATTATTCAAAAAAATGAAGTTAATAAATTTGTTTATAGAAACTTCTATTTGCTAGAAAATGTGATCCATAGTCTGGATTATATTACTGTTTTAATAATTGTACTTTTATCATTTTCAAGTATTCTGATAATTATAAAAATACTATCATTAAAACTGTAATATAATCCAGACTATGGATCACCTTTTCTATCAAATAGAAGTTTCTGTAAACAAATTTAAGAGGAGGTATCTCGTTATGATATAAACTTACTGATCGAAAGCATATTCCATACTACTAAATAGAGTAGTAATGTACAGTTACAGTTTTATTTTACAATAATTTTACAGTAAATCGAATTGGTCTAAAAACAAATTGCAAACAAATGCAAGATATATATCTGTAATTAACAGAAAAGCAGTTATTCTATTATTAATTGGTGCGTGCACTGTATTCTGATTGAAATTATTATCAACCAACTATTATACACGATACGCAACATTTTGCGGGGCTCCCTGATGCCTCTCGCCGTTTCTCTGGTCTTGACTAACGTTTCAGCCTAACGTCACTAATCCCAGAAATGATTATGCTAACTAATGAACAGGTTCGTAATCTCGGAGAGGGAGGCAACACCTGTCTGGATTCGCCAGCACGCAAGGCAGACTTGCACAAACCAGCTGGCCTCTACCCCTGCCATCGACAGGGCGGAAATCAGGTATAAATAGACACGGATGCTGAGCCCTGTCTACCGCTGACATATTTTAGCCCTGTCAGACGTTTGTTCCTGTCAGTTTATTTTCACCTGTGTTCGTGATCGAAGCGAGAATTCGACTTTGTTTCCCTCGAGTTATTCACACCCCTTCGGACGGGGAACGATAATTCGTTTGTACGTTTTCGACGTCAAAGATGGTCGACGAAGTGGATAAAAATTGCAATCAAATTATTGACAATGGAAGTGTATAGTGATGTGTTACTACTTGGGTGGTATACAAATGTGCTAATCTTTATAAAAATAGTAGGGGAATATTTCTGTTTATCTCGTACTCGCATATCTGATTCAATATTGAATGTTTTTTAATGCCGAAATAAAGCAGTGTAAATTAAAAACTATTCGTGAATTCGTTAAAGTTGAAGTTAATTGGCGATATCAAGGAGAATTTGAAACAATCTTTTTGAAATGATCATTTATCAGAAGAGAATCAAATATTTAAATTGGAACCAAATTTATTAATGAAAATACAGGGTGTCACGAGTATGTTGGAGATGGTTGAAAGGGATGAGGTGATTTGAAACAACTTTTTACTGGGGAAAATTGTTGTCTGAGGCTTTGTTCAGGAGATATTAACAGAAAACCCCAACCAGTCAAAGCGCGAGTATGCTTGTGGAGCGCCCGCAGTAGTGTATGCCACGCGCTAGACGGCCACAGTAGTGTTGGTCACGCGCTAGACAGCCGCAATAGTGTAGGCCACGCTCCACCGGACTACTCGCGCTCTGATTGGTCGAGGTTTACTGTTAATATCTCCTTAACGAACCCTCGAACAACATTTTCCCTAAGGAAAAAGTTGTTTCAAATCACCCTCGGAACCACCCTCTTCAAGGACCTCCAACATTTTCGAAACATCCTGTATATTTTACATGAATTGTATATGATCCAAAAAAATTGAATATCAAATATTTGTATATTTCATCAGTTTAAATGAATACGATACTTGTAAAAACAAAAGTTATAATTTCTCTGTTGTCTTTTAACAACTCTCACACGGTCGTTTATTCTTCATCGCGACAATGAAAAACGTCATAACAAAGAACAAAGGAGTACATGAAAGCTGTTGACAAGACCAGAGAAATCTTTTTTTACTACAATTATATCTGCACGCAGAGTCATTACGATAAAAGCACAAAACATTCCAGCGAGATACGTTTGAACAAATTCAGGAATTTATTCCAAATAAAAATATTGCAACTATGCTAAACAATTTAAAACAGTTCGCCCAATTTCAGTCAATTCTACTGTTGCAATTTCAAACCACTCCCCAAAGTACCTTCCTCGAAAGTTTCCACGAGAGTCGACTTTTCGTTTCGCGAAAGAAAAACACTAACCTTCTAACACCTCATTAATCACGCTTGCATGTCTGGCGATAACGCACTCGTGTTTTCCCATTGCTTCAGGAGCAGGATGTAGAAACTAGGATGGCGTTACGTGAAATCTTCTCGTAAGATCTCTGAACCGTACATTAAGAACAAAAAAAAAAAAAAAAAGAATACTTTTACCGGTTCTTCTAACAGGCAGTAATTGTCGCTTTTCTTGAATGTCGATTCAGATCAGACACCTCATTAGCAGCATATGTATAGACTCGCCAGGGAAACCGGAAGACCTGCACCAACCAGTGGGTTTATATCCCTGTCACCGCCAGGGCGGCAATCAGGTACACGAATTCAGAAGTCATCGGAATGAGAATTCCGAACGAACAGTTTGTTGTAATAACGGGGCACGCGGTTATCTAATTGCCTTCTAGCTGTTTAGCTTCGTTCCCTCCTACTCGTGACTCTGTCCAGCACGAATTGCACACAGTGATTGGAAAGACTTGGTACGGTCACAGAAGTGATTCTACACCTTGTTATAAGTCGAAATTATAGAATAAATTCATTTTGTGTAGAGTTCGTGTCAGGAAGTCGACATTTTAAAATTAATCTCGAAATTTAATATTTTACGAATCTAAAGCTTTTAGTTTTATATAGAGAGCTTTTAGTTTTGATTGTAACGGGAATTAGGATCAGGAAGTAGTAACACGGTCATTCCGTGGGAAATCGTATACTAAACTTATCTCAATCGATTTTTTTCTAATTTTTCCTCATGTTTCCCAATTTCAAAAATTATGGATTTTTTAGATGTTTGAAAATCAATGCTATTTTTTTTTTAAATAGCTCTCGAACTAATAGACGGATGTTCTATTTGATACGTTTCTAATAATGAACACAGTTTTAAAAATATAATACAAAATTCAGGTGATAAATAAAATGATGTGATAAAATAAAACTAGTAGTGTCACCAGTACTAGGTTCATTGTATGTAAAATATTAGTATATCCTTTAGCTTAATATTAGTTAAATATTAATACATAGTTGATATTAATATATATTCTACTGATTTAAAAACAAAAATTGATCACTTTCAAAATTGTCCTCACAGATATTCACAGACACACTTTTAAAAATTTAATACAAAATTGCTAATATAGTTTCATTTGTCACCTTTAAGAAGCAAGTTAAAAATTATTTTAAGGATAATAAATAGATTTCCTCAGACGAAGCAATTTTTAGTTTGTACGACAGGGTCGATGAATTATGACACTAGATGAATATATTGCATCATCTGGACTTGTTTTGTGGCGTGGAATCACTCTGTGTTCAATGCCATGGTTGTGAGCCATCCTGTGTAAACATAATCATTCATAGGATCATAGATGGTGATGGGATATTTAAAATTCTATTTGTTCGTGGATTGCTAGAACATATTTCCTACTATTCTTATTATCACTGGGTGTTTAGATCAATGATTGAGAATTTTGCAAATGTATGTACATTGTTCACACATAGGGATAACTATTGTTTAATTAAAAAAAAAGTTTAAATAAGAAAATTCCTGTAATTTTTATCGAGGACATTTTATAATATTTGAGCATATTTACTCATGGATACGTTCTTTTATTGTGTAGCTCTATCATTGACTCATCCATGAATACATAAATAGCCATGAATATAAATGTCCAATGAAGTCTTGCATAAATAAATAATTTTGAAAGGATAAAGTAAAGGTCATACGATAGACGGTTAATAAGAGTTTAAAAGAAGTTCCTTATGCAAACAGATGGCGCTCAATAAAGAGGCGTTCCTGTCCAGGTTGCTGGTAACTTGATCGCTAACGCTAATCCAGCAACCTATTGCCTCGGACGCAATTTATTCGTGGTTGGAAACTTCTTTATTGACCCCGTGGGAACAGTTTCGCCATTGAAAACCTCTTTTATAAAGAACTATTTCCATGAAAGAACTTCTTTCACGCTCTGATAAAAAATAGAATTCTCTAGTTGCACCGCTAAATTGTTATTCAAATTATTAATACGTTATACAAATTATTAATCGTCATTTTTTTTATTGGTAGTTCATTCGATTCTCAGTCGGTAGATCCATGCGTGTCACATCAAAATCTTGCGTTTGTAGTTTTCTAACAATTTTTGGAACAATGATAATCTTATAATTCATATAATGATGGAAGCATTAAATGTTATGTCAATAATATTAGGTTGTCCCAAAAGTTTCTTCCCTTTCATTAATAAGTAATGCATATACAATATTTTATGTCTAATGTTGCGTTATTGAATTGCGTACGATTCAGTTTCCTCCACTGCTGTTACAACATTAACATCTACAAAATCAGTTGTCTATTTATATAAACATTACCACGCGAAATAACTGAGTGCAAGTCACGGAAGAAACTTTTGGGACCTAATCCTAATCCTAATCAACCTAATAGATAACAAAGTATTAGTTGTCCTAGCAAAAAGGCTATTAATTGGTTAACGGTCGGTAAAGTGTCAATTTTCGTAATCTGTATACCATAATGCATCATTTTAAAATCAAATAAGCGACATTTCTAAGATCTTAATCATTTCCTAAACACCCTGCGTATATCAACCAGAATTACTCATAAATCGTTTTATTCAAAATTAACTTGGTACATTATATCGAGTGTGTTAAAAGTCCGATCGCTTATAGTATCGTTCAGCCAGGAGCAAATATCTCGAATCAAGGAGAAAAAGGGACCATTAACCGACGACACGTTTACCATTTCACTTGCACGCTAACTCGTTGCTAAGCTCGACCCATTTCGCTGCAATTAGTAACGTCGCTAATCTGGTGCAGGTGCTCATCAATCGTCCACCCACCTCTCTCATGGCGCGATGACCTAAACCACCTTTCTCTCGCCGTGGCTATCTGCACCTCGACATTTTTAGTTTAACGCCATCTCGTGTTGAATTAATCTTCCCGTCCGTGGGAGCAAAATTACGACACACGAGCGATTCCTTCATATCTGCTCGCTAAAGTTCGAATAAAACTCGTTTATCCAAGTATGGCATGCCACGAGAGTTAAGGGGAGAAATCATAGTCGTGACAAGTAAAAATTACAGTGGTGTTCCATTCACATCTATTTTATTGCAAATAGTCGAATTGACATTTCTCCTTCTTTGGCATAAAATTAATGTTACATGGTACATTAATTGTACATGGTACATGGTACATGGCATTCAGTTTATTCGAGGCACATTTAAGCATGGACCACCATCTATTGGCGGTAGTCAATGTGTTTCTGTTTTTTGTACATATAAATATGTAAGAATCTCGAAAGTCTAACAGGTACAAAGTTATAAGCTGGTAAAGTGGAAATCGTAAGAACTTACAAGACACATTAACAATTCAGAAAACAGACAAAATTAATTTGAACGTCAATTTCGGAAACTTTTGCATGGTATTTCGATATAATTCAATATACTATTTCGATATAAACAGAATCATTCGAGAAAGGTTAAGCAAAGAATGATTTTTAGCCTAGCAGCAAAGAGTTAAGTGGTCCTAGATCATTCGTACCCAATATTAAAATAATCAAATTATTATTAAATGGTATACTTTTACAGGAAATCTAAGGCTCTTCAAAAAAAGACTCTTGTAAAAACCTCGTAGGTCTAACAGGTGTAAACTTATAAACTGGTAAAGTGGAAATGATAAGAATCAAAACAAACAAAATTAATTTAAACATCAATTTTGGAAACTTTTTCATCCTAGTCTATTTCAATATAAAGAGAATCATTCGAGAAAAGTTAAAGCAAAGAATGATATTTAGCCTAGCATGAAATAGTTAAGTGGTCCCAGATCATTCGTACCTCGAGCAAAAAGAGGAGAAGGCAGTCGAACCGTCGCTGTTGAAAACGTTGTTAGCCGATGATGAAAAGAAGAGAGGAGCTCGTTACCGGTCGCGTCGAACCCGTTGGAAATCTGGCCTCGTGGCCGTGACGCTTGTCTCGTCGTTAAAATCACGCAGACGACGACGGCAAACGGCAAGCGTCGCGCGCGAATCCCCGGCCGACGGCGTTGCTTCGCACAAAAGCTACGCGCTCAGCCAGGCTCTGGCGCGGTTTAAGAACCGTGACAACCAGTTAATTTAGCTATTTGCCCTAGCAATTAAGCTGTGGTTTCACGGTAATTACGCCGCTGCCCGGGGTCGACCGACCGACTCTAATAGAGTCGTGACCACGCGCTTCCACTCCCGTTTATTGATGACTTCGACGTGTTCGAACGAGGAAGCGGCAGGTGTGGACCAAAGGGACACTTCAAGACGCGAAATCGCGAAATTTTCCATTGATTGACTGGTACCCGCGGCGGTTTTCGAGCTCTTCTCTCTCTTTTCTTCTGTTTTGTGTTTCGTTGGATTCGGTGCAATGTTTCGGAATATGTTTTGTATAATAAGTGATAGGGCATACAGGGTGTCCCAGCTCAACTGTTACAAAGCTATATCTTCAAATATGGACATTTTTGTTAACCTTGTTATTTAACGAGATATGATGGTCAAGTTTCGTTTTTCAAATGGGACTATATATTTTTGTTTAGATCATGCGATAGTGGTTTTCAAGACGATATTGTGTATATTGTAGAGGAGAGGTCTCTGCATGGCCCCTGGATACTGTTAAAAAATAAACCAAGATAATTAGGGACTTTTAGGTAGCATAGAAATGTCTAGGTTAAATGTTAGGGTAAATGTTTGTGTCTTTTAGGTAGCTCGAGGTTTTCAGATGTCTGAGCGCATGTTTGACTCACAATCAGTTAATATTTTCTTCTCCCATGGTGTATGTTCGATCTTACTTACTTACTTAATTTCAGAAAAACTTGCACTATAGTTATTTCGTTTCCTTCGTGAGTTATCATCACTCTGAGTCTAGTAATGATTAGCTTCTTTCTTCATTTTAGAAATAAATGTATAAGGATGAGCTTGCTTAGATCTGAGAGACTTGATATGTAGAATTGTGTCTCAAGTATTCACTGAAAATGACTGAGTTTAGAGAACAGTAGAGGAACAATAGTAAAGCTATTATTTATTATAGTTTGAGGAACACGCATTTTACCTAATTGTTCTGTTCGTCACATGGAAGATGAAGTGACAAAGTAAAACTAGTAGTGTCAACAGTACTCAACTAGGTTCATTGTATGTCAAATATTAGAATATCATTTAGTTAAATAGTTCCTTATTAACCTAAATAATCCTATACAATAAACTGATAGAACGGTGAACTGAACCGATGCTTGAAAGTTCTGTTAGCTATTCAACGAGTTCTTTCAGGCTCTCATAACTCCAAGTACTCGAAGTTGAAACTGTTAGTGGGCACCGGATGAAAACCGCGTACTTTGTCCAAACAATCGCTTCGTTTCCACGAATGATATGACGCAATCGAAAGTTAAGTGATCAGAACTTTTACGAAACCAGCTGCGACACTGATCAAACATGAGGAATCCTTTTCAAACAGGACAATTCGTGAAACTCGTTACAGTTTTAGCTGCAAGATAGTTAGCTAACTGACGATAAGTTTCAAGTAATAGCATGGTCGATTAGTGTAGGTAATATCGGTAACTTAAAATCGAGAAATTCTTGGTTAATTTGGGCAGTTCAACGCGCTGTTGGGCTATTAGGTTCCAGAATCGGAGAGTTTCTTAATTTAATGGACATGACTGATGTAAGAAGATCAAAATCGCGAAGCTTAGGATAGTTTAAATAGTAAGTGAAGTTCAAGAATCAGTTGAATTAACAGTCCCAGATTACGAATCATGACATTTCATTGAAGCAATAACATTTTTGCTATATTATTCTCTAGTCATTTTCAAATGATTCTCATACTCAGAACTGATCTTTTATCTCTGCGCTATTGAGCCTCTTTTATATACAGAGGTAATTAGATAGTAGAAATTCCAACCTTTAATTTGAATTTTGTTAGAATCAAATCGGCTATTTTTGAAAAAGAGGAATCTTGGAAAACACAGTCCTCTAAACTCTTTAATTCTTTCAACACAGTGTTGATTTCAGCTCAAATAGGTTTTGTCAATAACGTGTTTCATATACGTATACTATAAGAGTTATTTCTAATTATTCGTTGACATTAATGATATATAGATGGTGGTTGATATGTATATGTATATGATTGTCGTCTCGGTAATTTAATGAAAAATACAGTGGCTACAGTAGCCGGTCAATAACGAGTGTGAACAATGTCAACAATGATCGCGTACCCAAATGTCTTGTCGACAATAAGCGGCTCATGGTTGATGGACAGACTGCAATTAGATTGAGCGATTACATTGCAACTAGTTGAGATTAATAGTGGGTAATTATTGATAATTAGATAGCAGGCGGGTGACAATCGACTAACAGATAGGCAGCGTTTAGACGTGGTTGGACTGCAATCTCATCAGAACTTGATTCCTGCGTCTAAACTACTATTAACCGTTGCTTATCAATAGCCACTCGTTATCATGATTGCGTCGATATATTCTGCGACCAACAGACTGTTCTACTTTCCCATGAGTGACGAGTAAAATCCAATACGGTACGCATGGTACGTGTCTTATGATCGATTGTTTTAAGTATGTTTGGCGGTGCAGATAATTCGAAAATAACTGTCGAAAAATAAAGGATTTGTTTTGGGATGAAATCTTTACGAATTCTAGAAAAATTAAAATCAGGCAATTATTTGCAACAGAGCTTATCGAGCAATGTTATAAAAATATTTATTACTGTGAAAGAGAATCAAAGGAGAAATATCACATTTGTTGTAAATTTTTTTCTATGTTTTCTATCTTCATAATTAAAATGCGTTGTGTTACATGTGATTAGTTTCTTAATTTTTGTTAGAATTGTAAAGGGTTTCGCTTCCATCAACAGTTATTAACATTTGTTATTTTCAAACTCGTACTTTATCTGTTATAAATTCTATTTATATCTTTCTAAATCACGAGACGTGTTTCGTCGAAACTAACTTTAAACTTAGACCTGTCAAGATTTATTATCGCATTAACCAAAAGGGAGCTATTTCCTTTGGCTCGAACTTTCGATATAGAAATACCAATATTACAAAAGCACAAAGAATTTCATCTGTCAAACGTTGCCACAAGAAATCGTCCAATTTTAATTCATCCATTCACCTTTTTAAATTTCTTTATTAATATCCGTCCCATTAGCGTACATCGGAAGTTCAGAAGATCAGAAATTCTATTTTGATGCCAACGCGTTCAATGAATACTGGCGGAAAATAATTTCGGCGCTTATTAATTTTACAATATTCAAGAGTGACGTACCGAGTAATATTCCTGTGAAACGGAAGTCGTTTCTAAATTAACTGTCATTTTCTTAGCGAGGTCAGTTTACGGGTTTGATACCCTCACCTCGATAGAACGGATATAGATAGCAATGGTTGGTTGTAAGGTGCAGTAACCGGTGCAGTAACCGGTGCATGGCGTTAATCCTTGCTTTTCATTATCCTGAATCCTGCTGCTTTCGAGTACAACGTTGCACGACAGAGGCTGAAAATCCTGGAATTTTCGACGTCGATTGTTCTGACAGCCTAGGTACAACTTGTAGAAATTTGAATAACTACCAGGATTATTCATTCCTGGCCACTCGCGTGAGACCAAATCAATTTTTTGGTACGTGTGTTATCCAGGTACATGAAGTGTGAAATAAATTGAAAAAAGTACCAAATGTACTATAAAAAAAATATATATATATTGAATATATTAAAAAACAATATGAACACTTCAGTATACCTATAATATACTCCAATTTGAAGGATACTCCCAACATCGAAGTAATTTGACGCAGAATGACACGAAAGTAAGAGCAACAAACGCCTGTAATTGTTAACCGCGATGTCTGACAAGCATCGGTCGTCGCTGTTCTCATTATGGACTACTACGATTTAAGTCAGGCGCAGAACGATGCCACAGCAGCTATCGCGATAATAAACGTCAATCACACATGATTGAGTTTACTGTTCCCAGAAAGTGATCTGGAGCTATTCCTAACCGCGACGCTCGCGACAATTGAGACTGACGTTGTTCTATTAAACTCCATTCCTAAAACCGTTGGTCCAACGGTAATTAAACGGAAATAGCATCCTTTTCTTGTTCTACCGTATTCCCCCTTAGAAGAAATTAAAGCGTTAAGTAGGAAGTTCCGTAACATGATCCCAGTCGAGCCAAAGTTCTGTTTTATTTCTTCGAAAAGGCTGGAATAAGTTTAGATATCGCGGAGACGAACGAGTTAATTATTATTATTTGAAATTGGTATGACTTCCAAGTGGTTTTTTCAAGTCTCAGCAAAAGCTAATTAATTTTTCCGATGTCCCAGTTAAAGGCTATAATTAACTTTTCTGAAGTCCCAGCGAAACCTGCAATTAAGTTTCCTGAAGTCTCGGAAAAAACTGTAATAAGTTCTAAGATGAAAGTGGTCCCTTCGTCAAACGACTGATTTTAATTCACTGTACGATGGTTCGCCATTTTTTTCCACTGTCTAAAAAGAATTTTTTTATGTATAATGAGAAACTGAAACGTACTTCGCGAATCAAAGCGACAGTTTCAAAAAGTCAAGAATTTTTTTATTAACCACTTCGGTGCGGCACTCACCGACCGCGAAACGCACACAGTCGACGCTCGTAGTGCGCACGAGTTTTTATATTGTGTATTGGCGACGAATTAACAAAAAAAATAGAACAAAAATTTGGCCCATAAAATAGGAAAAATATCAAAGTCTTTTTTTGCGTAAAAGAAGAAAAAAATTGAGTGTCGAAATTTGAAAAATTCGTAACTTTTCTGCTAATAAGTTTTCTATGGTGTTCGAAAGAACGTTTGTTAGTGCATGTCATACGAAATTCAAAACAGAAGTATGTTTGAATACCATGTTAAATTATCTAAATGCTATTGAAAGGTTTCATTTTTTTTTTTTTTTTTTTTGTTGAATATATGTTCTTTGAACAAATAGAATTGAAAAGAAAACGAATTTTTTCAAAGGTAAAAATGGAAATACCCACTTGCTGATTTAATTAATTTAGTATTGCTTTCTTTTGCACACTTTGTAACATCGTATTCACTTATTGAAAACGAGAACTATTAATTCCTAAGAAGTTAGATTCTAACAGAAACTACCGCTTTTACTTCAGTTACAAACTGAACAATTTATAATTGCACTTCATGAACAGGAGAAGTTTTCATTTAAAGCAAAATGAAGGTTTTGCGGAGTTGTAAGGTCGTAGAAAAATTGTTTTAACTATCGTCGAGCAACTTCTTTTCCGAGTCTCGTAAGCGTCTCAAGTACTTAACTATCTATTATAGGTGCAAATTCGAGTGTACAAGATTGTTCGAGTAATTATGAAACCCGGTTTCTGCAATTTGTGCTAAAAAGTTGGCTAACTTTGTACAGTTAAACTTTAGAGACTGTGGAGGAACATGTCGAAAGTTTCGATATAGGAACTTCCTTTCAATTAAAATAATCGTTCTCAACGTAGTTTTAATTGCAACCATTTAGTTTTCCCGTCTACTCTATGACTGGCATTAATAACATAATTTATAACCTACTTAAAATTGAAATAAGGGACCAGTCGATAATTTGTTAAAATCAATTGTTTAATTAATATTTTACCGAGCATTATTTTAATCGGCTTTTTGCCATAAACTGCCAATTCTTTGTTGTTTATTACTTAGATAGCTTTGTATGACTCATTATCATACGAATGATGAAGATATTATATAACTATTAATCTGAAAACGATTCCCATAGGTTTCAATAAATATTACATGATACCAACGTTACGAAAATAAATAATATTATATTTAACTATATATATATATACATCTAATCAGTCGGTAAAGTTTTAATAACAATTTCACAATAATTTATGCAGCCACTTGAATACTTTTTGTCTATTTGCTTTATAGTTGCTGAAGTCGCTATCATAATAATAATAATAATTATAATAATGATGATGATGATGATGAATACGTTCTAAAAATTTTTAGTACCCAGTTGCTTTAAATTCGATGTTACTGAAATGTGGAGAACGTGTATTCGACACAAATTGAAATCATTGGTGGACGTATAACTCCGGAATGGTTGAAATTTAATATAAATGGAAATGTTTGAAAAATGCAACGAAGGTGGTTGTTGGAGACATCCGGCAGATATTCAGGTTTCTGGAATATTTCCGGTATACGTACGTGGCTGTCAGAACCATCGGTCGTAGGCAAACGTCTGAGGGTAAAATTCACGAGCATTAATCTTGATCGTTTGCTACAGTACTGGATGTTGAGCAAGACCGGGGAGATCCGTCGAGACGAGTCATGCTTGGATTACAGTGGCACTGATGTCATCCTCTATCCTTGTCATGGTAGCAAGGGGAATCAACAATGGATTTATAATCCTCAGGTACGTTATCCCAAACATTCGTGTAAGTTATTGGTATCATTGGTCAAGTAGCATCACGACCGTGGTGACATCGCATCCTGATTAATTGTATTATCGATTAAGGCGTATCAATTAACACATTCGCGACCACTGACGCGAATAAAAAATTGGGAGCTACCGTTGCACTAGGGAATTCTGAAACGAGCTTACATTGTGAAACAGGTTTACAAGTTAACAGGCTTACAAGTTTAAAATAAATGAACTTCACTGAATTAATTAATTTTGGTATTTTAGATTCAGGTCGTTGATTACGAATCTGAACTAAAATTAAAAATAGTGGATCCAATATGGACTTCCAAATAACCTTAATAAATTTGGCATTCTCTGGTTGATTAGATTTAGGTTAAAATTAAATTAAAAATAATTATTATTATTACTATAAATAATCACTATTTTAAATACTGTCATTATTATTTAAATAAAACTTTAATTAATACAGATTAAAAAATTTTGAAAAGACGTTTTCTAACTGTGAATAATATTAACACACTCGCGACAGGTAGATATTTTACATTTCTAATACCGAGTAGCAACGGAAATAATAAAATTCTGAAGCTGGGAATCGCAAATCTGTATCGTTAGAACGAATATAAAAATTACAAAATATACGATTATCAATGTTATAAATATGTAGCGTATAAAATAGAAAGCTTTTCATAATTTTTTCGTAACCAGGAATAGAATTTGAAGTATAACTGTGATATAATGAGATCATCAAAAATAATGGAATAAATATGCCAGCGGTCGCGAATGTGTTAAAATCTATTTACACATGTCCGTAACGTGTCAGTTCCGTATCCGTTCAGTTTCGTAATGTTCCATCGGTGTCAGTGATTTTAATATTCTTCTGTTGTTTTTGAGTGGGCATGTTCACACACGTCCGACACCGCTCCATGACGTTATTGATACGGTACGGATACGGAACTGACACGTTACGGATACGTGTAAATAGACCTTTAACAAGCTACCGATCGGTAAACCGATAAGATAGATATTTGAAACACTATAAAATAAGATTACAAGTATCAACCGAATATTCCGTTTTCAGACGAAGCAGATCAGACACGGTAGCAGCGACAGGTGTCTGGCGATCACGGAAAGCAAGCAACGTCTGATAATGGAGGAGTGCTCGCTGAACGCTGCCAGGCAGAGGTGGTCCGTCGAGAACTACGATCCGTCGAAGCTGTGATATCGCGCCTTTTCACGCAGCCAGTCGAGAAACACCGGTCGAAGGTTCGATCGGTCCGGTACTTGGATGTCTGGTCCTCGTTATTCGGTCGCCAAGACCCGTTTCGGCAGATAGATTCTGTGGTTTCGGGGCCTGGGCGCCTCGAAACACCGTCGACCAGACGCTCGAGATCGACTGCGAGAGAAAAGGGACGCGAGACTTCCTCGTGAAAGTAAATACCAGCCACGTTGAGGACGAGGCTTCCGTGCGGCGATAACGACGATCCGAATCGACGATCGTCGGCTGTAATTACTAACTGTAAAACAGACGAAGTGCAATAGATACTATCGACTTAAGGGTGATCGAAGAGGGACTTCCCCTTCGACGAAACGCTGTAACTGATGTACAATGAGACGAAACGTTAGGGGTACGGTCCGCGAGCGCCTCGAATTTTTTTGGGAAACGCTTTCGCTGGCATTGAAGAATTGAGAGGTTTTCCGGGGAGGTTGCGAGAATCGGAACGAATGGCGCTAGGATTTTAATAGTTTTCCTTTTTGCGTGGATTGTTCTGATGATTTTAATTTTTTTTTTGACGTTTAACTGGAATCCAAGTTCGTTTATTGGATAAACGTGAGCGTTTATAATGATGTTTACCCGTGAAGACGTTGAATATATATTTCTTAGGGATTGTTTAATTCCTTGAGCAATGGTTACAGAGTTAGGATCGTTATGTTTTGCAAACTTTGATTAACTAGATGTAATAAGTGTGAGAGGGTATCGCGCACCTTTACTTACTGATCTTAATGATCGAAGCAAGGTTTTTACGGCTAACCGCGTAGTTTAAGGCAATAATTAGGACGTGGACGATGCGCCGATGCGTCAATGACAGCGAAAAGCGTGTCAGAAGGATGTATTATTTAGATTTTATTCGGGTATAACGGGCGAATGCGATTGTATCGACTTCGAAAAGAGCCTCGATCGTCGCGATCGTCCGTTGGTGGTTGATTTGAGGAGGATCGAATGATGCGAGGTGCTTATGGCAAGTGCCATCTCAGAGACAACGAGGTGCTCCATTGGGAATCAACGAGTCGCCGATGATAGAAAATTGAGAGTGATTTAAATTCAAATAATTTCACTGTCGAATGGTAGGAATGATAAGTAAAAATAATTAATCCAGATATCGACATATCATACTTTTAAAAATATTTTAAATAGGTACTGGTTTAACCAAAATTGCAAATATGCAGAGTGTCTAGGACTAAATATTTCATGAATTAGATGCCAGTTATTAATGTTAGCAACATGTTGGACACGTGAGGATTTTTGTTTAGAATAGCGTTCATTGATGATCACATATCAACAAAGAAACGTCTTGTTGCTTACTTCCTTAATTGTACTTTAAAATTAGTTTATTTTCTTAAGTTAGCACTAGCACGGCATTGATTTATGAAAAACATATCAATTTAATTTTATATAGGAAGTCGTGCATTAGTGACGTTTAACTTTAACTCTTTAGAAATTTAAAATTTTTAAATTAACTTAAAATACTATTTTCTAATCAGTATAAATGAAATTATGAAAGTACTTGGAATATTTCGCAGGGGCATTTTTATAGAATCGGTTGATTACAGCCCAACTCAGAATCGTTATAAAATATCAATCAATCGAATTATAAATATTATCAGCTCAATAAATTAGAAATTAGTTCTGATTTACCCGTGACGCGAGAACGTTTGATGAACTTCTTTTAGTAATATGTATAAATAGACAAATCTGTTACGATTAATCCCGTAATTAATTTGTAAAACACAATTAAATATGGTGCTTGTTGGGTAAGAGGAAAAACCACATTAGGAGGCCAAATTAATTTTTTCTTCACTTTGAGAATATTTTAGGCATGTTTTAAAGTACATTTGGTAATTTTTCCAGAGAAACCTTTAAGCTGTTCCCTATTTTGTTATCTGAAAGCAACGAAATTTTTTTGCTTATATTGCCCACATGTTTCCTAAAAGTATAAACTAAACTGCGGTCAAAAAAGTTGAAAAATTGAATTTTTTAGAAGTGCTTCAAGGAAGTGCTTTAAAAGATGTTTGGTTCATATCCAAGGCATTTAAATAAAGTAAACGCATGTGAAGTTTCCAAATTGTCATTCTTACGGATTGGAGAAATGTGCTTTCGAAAATAACGCGATATCTCAAAGATTTTTGTTTGAAATGATTTGTAAATATTACTATACGTGCGTCAAAACGTACCTAAAATATTCTCAAAATTAAAAAAACTTTAAATAAATTCTTCTATATAAAAAAAAAAAATATCCCAAGAAACACTTAATACTTGGCCCCCTCATTTCCTCCCTTAATGAACGATGCAAATTTATGAATTCGACCACCATCGTGTGAATCAAAATTTTAATATATCCATCTATAGACGACTCGTTGAACACCCGTTGTCTCTCTGTCGTATTCTCTGCGCTTACGGTAGTATCGTACATTCCAAGATGGAAATCAGGATGATTTCAAGTCCGCGGGCGATGGGTGGAACCCTTTTTCTAATTAATTTAACCCGTACGTAGTGCGTAGGGACAGAACGCGGACGAGTAAAGGTACACATTCCGGTACGGTGTAGGACGACTTTTGTACATTCGTGTAAAGTATCTTGATGCCAGTTTAGATACCGCCTAAAGTAAGATTCCGAGTGTATGTGCGAGAGTAAATAATTTGCAGTGCACGTGACCTTGAATCACGAGTTCTCGAGCAGTATTCGTGCAACCCTTTGTTGCCTGTTACTCTTCCAATCAATTTAATGAAAAAGTTGTCAGAGAAATGATATTTGCTCTAACCAGAGATGGGCATATTTCTTACCTAGATACAAATTTTCAATGGCAAGAAAGAAGATGGACAGCGTTTGTTTAGATAAAATTACAATTTGCAATATAAACATTACCGTCTACCTAAGACTTGAGAATATATTTTTATAAATTTGACTCATTGTCATAACAGGCAGAAAAGATTTAGTTACCATTGGTGTATCTTCTAACCCTGTCGAAGTAGTATCGATCTTCAGTTCTAGTAACAAAAGTGACATCTAGTCTTTATCCGTTAAAAGTTTTCCCGAGCCATAGGTTACCATTGGTCGGGGGAGAATCAACTGGTTGCTCAAGGCCACTGTCCCCCACCATGCAATTTGATTACCCACCGTGTCTCTTAGACCAATCGATGTGTTAGTATCGTGCAAAAGTGGGAGACACGTGTACCCTATATTGGAGAGAGTGACCTTGACCGAACGATTTATTTTGGTCTGTCTATGTCTACAATAGGATTGCCCCCATAATCTTTTATGAGTTTCTTGTCTAATGATATTTCTATCATCAATATATACCAAGAATTTTAGTTAGAAAATTAATCTAGTTAAAGAAATTCGCCAATCATACAGAATCTTAATTTGAGCAAATAAAAGGAAGCACAAGTTTAACAGCATTAATTTTAATTTCTCTTTAACCCTCTATAAATGTTACTCTGAGATCACATACTCGTATATCTATATTTTTTAAGACTGATTTCATCTTCTTCATCTTGTTACAACTGTAGAGCAATAGTATGGCCATCGAGAAATCTGTTCAATGTAGATGTTAGTTAAATCTTCTCACACCAACAGGAATTTATTTAATTTTCTAAGAAGGAAATTGTTTTCTCTTTCAGCATACAGATTTAACAAGAAGTGACTAAATCTATAAGGTTATTAAATTAACGGATTGTTTCTATTGAATGTCCAATCCAAATGGTTACATTATAAAATAGAGAGTTGCAATTTACCATTTAATTCATATTTCATGATCTACAGTCATCGTTGTCCTTTAATATAATTATTTTTAAAACTCATCAATGATTTAAGCTATAGAGGGTGAAAAAGAAACTCGTCACATTTTACAAAAAATTGAACGTTCACAACTTCCAAGTCCCATCTGTCACGAAAACACACAATGTTTCTCAATGACTTTTCCTTATAGTGGACATCAAAGGGTTAAGAGCTGTGATTCAATCGGATATCATGATCTGCAAATGTCTGTGCGTGCCAACGAAATCGTGAATGCCGCTGCTAGTGCGTGGGCGATTGTATGATATTCAAATTCTTCTCCACCATCACCGATCACTATTACGAATCATTAATCAGCGTGTTGCGTACACTGATTTTTTCGCGACACTTCACATATCCATATAAAAATATCATCGCTGATTTGTATCGAGCCACGAGAGGATTAAACATGGCCTCGTGCCATGTTTTTTCAACAATTCTGGTTGCCAAGTTAAAATTTGAAGTTGACCGCAATTAATACAAATTTATAGCTGATTGTGGTAGGGTTCAATAAGATTAAAAAAATTTTTCTATAATTGAGTATGCTAAAATAATGCTAAAATTCAAATTACTTTCAAAATTGATTGAATGTATTTAAAGAGAAAATAATATGTGAAGTAGTATTATTCATTGACATCAAACCAAAATATTTTATTACATGAATGACATTGATCTATAACTAAATAAAACAATTTTAATAGTATGTCAGCAAACAATATATACGTAACAAATTTAAATAAAAATTGTTTTTAATCTTTTTTCCCCTAAAAGAAAGAAAATAGATTGATATATTATTTATCCAATCCTCATTGGATAAATCTTACATTATAAAAATCGAAAATATTCACATGTTCAAATATTTGCTCTCAATGAACTTAAATACCGCTGCAAGATCGATACTCATCTATATTTCAAAATAAATTCGAATCAATTGCAGTCATTGCAATCATAAATATATACTATAACAGAATATGACGTTTGATTAGATCAGCAATCAGCTATATATTTAAATATAATGTTAAGTGACGTCAGCGGCCACCAGATATGTATTTAAAAATGATTCTAAATGACGTCAGCGGCAACCAGATGTATATTTAAAAACGACATGAATTTACGTCAGCAGGTGCGAATGTATTATTATCAAAACTTGAAGTTCACTGGATTTGCAATTATGCGAGTAGATTAGCTCCGTCGACGCGAAATCCAGACGTGGAGTGCATCGGTGATTGCAATCGCGTGCGGAAGGAACAAGCATTCGTCGAAACGTCGGGATGAAAGCTTAATTACAGTTGAATCGAGTTCGATTGAATGCTCAAGGCCATTTCGCCAACTGTGAATTGTGTCAGAGCGTATCAGCGGTTTGCGCGAAGAGGTAGTAGGTGAAGTAATGAGGGTAGCAAAATGACGTGGTGGGGGTAGTGGCCTTGAGCAGTCAATCAAGTGGGAAGTCTGATCTACAGAACAGAAATTAAAATTTTTCTTTTAATTTAAAAAAAAACTGTCTGACCTATTGATTGTAAATTTTGTACTCATTTTTGTGGATATCTCAAGAATTTGTGTAAAATATTCATTCTCAAGTCATAGACTATTGTATTGAATTATGGATTGGCAAATATCTGAGCCAAACAAACTAAATGTATTTCTGCACTATTGTTGACAGTTTCGACGCCATATTTAATCACCTTCAGGCACAACAAAAAATTAGTTTAATCTGTAATAACGAGTACAAATATACTGTACCGAATCCAAATTGAAACAATACTTATAGTTTATACATAATTCTATCAAAGTTCTAAGTCAGGCTACTTCTTTAATTTCGATTCGACTGCTTTCATTCAAAATTCTTGAATGGTCGTTTCAAGCACTTCCTGGCACGCGTTTGTCGAAAACGTCGACGCAGAACACCTCCGCAATAAATGAAGATGAATATACGCATGACCAATGGGTGCCGCGATTTCATCGCGATTAATTAAGCGGAAATGGTGAACATGCATAATAGATTTTAAGGTGGTGTAAGATTCTTTTCTTCGAATAACCGATGAACGGACGAATGGAATTCAACGAGAACGTTTATACAGATAGATATATACATATATTATAAATATATATTATATATACAACATTTTCTACATTTGGTAAGGATGTTGCATATCGCAAAAGAGGGGAGACACAATGATGATGATAAGAGATATAACGGACAGCCGAGCGACGCTGGTCGCACGTTAATTAATGTAATATCGAACGTGCCTTATTTCCTGTATATATGAATATTATTATCACTATTATCATTACTACGAACCTCTACCGTAACGTGCAAGTATTTGTGTTGAATAAATCGATGTTGTTTTATGTTATTGGTGGACTGTTTACTCATTCATCTGATGCTCATGTTCTGCAAATGATTCGGGTAATCTACAGAGATGATTCACCATCTGAGTTCTGAGATGTTCAAAAAGTTAAATATTAAAACGTAAAGTTTTTGTCACAAGACTAAGTTACTCTTATTTCAATTAAAGACATCTTTCCAAAGGTATACTTAAAGTAACGCAGTTCAACGTTTAAAATTATGTTCATCACATTTTTGTTAACCTCATAAATGATTAAAAAATACAGTATTTAATTCATAGCACAACTAGCTTAACAAGATTACATTAAATATAATTAAAATATACAAAAGCATGAATTAAATAAATCAAATGTATAACCACAAAATAATGTGCAATAAGGCAGTGACCTTAATAAAGTAAGACCTTCTTTTCCATCGATAAAGATAATTTTTTCAAATAGATATTAACATTTTATTCATGTCTGATATTTTTATGCCTTTGTATCCATTTTTGTCAGGAAACTTCTATTTTTATTTCAACGTGCATTTTTCTTTTTAACAGTATTAATAACAAAACCGATTAATATGTATTAAAATAAAGAAACAACGTATACTCTATCTGGATTCGAGTACTAAACGTTAATACAAAAGCCTATGCATATTTCGAAACGTCATTTTATAACATTATACATTCATATAATTATATTTCGCTCAGCTATTCCTCGTATTCATTTTCCTTTGTACTTTGTTTCTTTCCATTGTCAAAGCATCGTGGATCCCTTTGACGCGGTCGATTTACATAATTGCGCCTGATATTGAATCGAGAGTTCACTTTGAAAGTCGGTCATGACACAGTTTCCATCAACCTTGAACTATTTCGGTCTGATCATAAATTTCCATTTCCACTTCAGCGACATTTCACTCTGGCTGATTATTAATGAATCGTTAAACACATCAAAATAATGTTCAGCCTCCTTCGACGACCTAATTAATTTCGTTGCTCTTTTTTTTTTATAATTTCCTATCTACCCATAATATAAAATAATAAAAATTGTTGATTTATTTACCGCAACCAAGAATGGCTCGCAACAGCTTGAAATAAACATTTTTGTTCTGGTAATTGCATGATCACCAAAAGCTGCGTGTGTTTATCGAACCGTTTACGAATTATCGAGGGGCTGGTACGGAAACCAAAATGAAATCGTTCGTTATTCTCGCGCAGGCGTCGTGAGCGTCGGGACGTCCCTCGCCGAAGGAATACGACTGACCGAGGCGTACATTTTTTCCCAGAAATTCTATAATAATTTCGACACACTGTATTCCACTGTATTTAACATTTACACTCGCGACGTATTAATTTTCTATATTCAACAATTACACCTACTTTCATATATAATATTTTTAATTAATGTATATATATATATACATAGTGGCCATAGAGAAATCAGAAGAAAAATGTACACAAGGAATATGAGCTCAGTATCCTGCTGTGAATATTATTTTGTTAACCATAAAGTATTCATCGTCTTTGGTTAATGAGAATTATTTATCCATTGATTGCGTTTATAATTTATTAGAAAGGTATTTTCTGGAATAGTTGCAGTAGTTGAAGCATTTTTGGATGTTAATATGCGACACGTGTTTTCCTGGAAATAAGTATTCTTAGGCGATCGAAATACTCATGCTCCTCCCGGTGTTACAGTCGGGATAGCTACTTGTTGCGGTGCCAGGAGTTATTGATTCGTAGAGAGAGACGAGCCTGGATAAAGCGCGAAGGTAGTTCCTCCACAGACATGAATGGTGGTGGTCCACAGAGCCAGATTTTGAGCTTGACCCGGATTCGGTGGAGTTCACGTTACCTTCACTTTCGTTGCCCACGTTCTAACCAAATGTGAATCATCGAAAACGAACCATTAAATAATAATAAATACGAGAAATTATGTTTGTCCCGATAAAGGATAGCAGAAACATTGCCCAAACTTGCATTAATTCTGTTAAAAATTGTAAGTGACCACTAGTGTCGGAAGTTTTATCCAAATATCTGTACTATTCGCATAATTCGGATATATGAATATTTGAATGCCTGAATAAATAATCCGAATATACTAATTCAATCCTTCATAATTATAATCTAAGCAAACAGAGAAATACACGAAGATTTGCGACTCTGTACTGTAAATAATGATTTTAATCATGCATCCGACGTGAAAATGTTCCAGATAGTTAAAAATATCCGAATAATCCGGACAATTCGAATAATAATTACAGCAAGCTGTAATTTTAATTTAACACGATTCTGTGCTTCTATAATAGTTGCATCAATAATGTAATTGAAGTATAATGTCGGATTAGAGAATTTTATAAAATTATTTAATTCTTTTTAAGGTTTTTTTTTAAGTTGGTTGAATTTTAATGAATAATTGTTTATCTAAGGATTTAGCTATGTAAATTAAATCGATATTGGAATATTCGGATTATTTTGGAAAAAATTTGAATGTTTGGATTACGAATACTTATTCGATTGTTCTATTTCTACAAATGCTTCGATATCTCCGAAATTTGTTTACAACCGCATTTCGACATAAAATTCAAGACGTCTTTGCCAGACCATGCACCACAGTTTAATATAAATAAATAATGGTTAAAATTTGTTTTCATGGAACCATAAATCACGGAAATATTCGGATGTTCCTATTTAAATGCTCCACTCTGTATAATTTTCAAGTTCGCGTATCTATCGATGGGAACACATTTGTAATTATCCAAACTAAAAAGGGGAGAGTGGAAAAATAAGGGATATGGATTATGAGTAATATATTGGAACAAATTTATTTTGAATAACAGTAACTGAATACTGAATGAAAGTAACAGATTCGTAGTCCGTGATTTTGATTAATAATTAATGAATCAAAGGAAGAGATTTTTTCAGCTGCAAAATAAACATTATTTGGCACTTTATTTTGCGTGAAAGGTACGATTATTATGTTTGAGATAGGAGTACTGAATTTCTGCGAGAAACTTAAGTATTTTGTACGCACATCAGGCGATAAACAATTTCCGGGCGAAAGTAGAGGGTGATTAATTGCTTATCGAGTTACTCTGGTAACATTATTGAAAAACATGTTTTCGTGGCAAACTCGACTAAAGTTTGCGTTGTGTATGCCCATTAATCAATCATAACTTTCAAAATAAATTGGTAACTTTCGTAACCTTTTAAATTTTCAGCTTTTCTGGAGCGCAAAATATTCACCAAAGTTGGTACTTTGATATTACAAAATTAGAAAATTCGATTCGTTTCAGTCTCACGAACCCGGTTCACCGTTGGAAATAGTACCACAATTTCTGTAACCTTTTAAATTTTCACCTTTTTTGGAGAGCAAAATGTTTTAAAAATCGATACTTTGATATTGCATAATTAGAAAATTCGATTCGTTTCACTTTCACGAACCTGGATCACCTTTCCAAATAATTCCACGATTCCTATCCACGATTCCTTTTTTGAAGAGCAAAATATAAATGTAAAAGTCGATACTTCGGTATTACAAAATTGGAAAATTTGATTCGTTTCACTTTCACGAATCCAATTCACCTTTAGAAATAATTCCACAATTTTTGTAACCTTTTAAATGTTGACCTTTTTTGGAGAGCAAAATACTTGAAAAGTTGATACTTTAATAAACGCAACAAAAATTGAATTTGTTTTATATTATTTAGTGTAGTCTTGAGAGCCCAGCATTGGAAATAATTTTAAAGCTTAATTTTTCTAATTTCGACGTTTTTCATAGCACACAATATACGTAAAAGACAATACTTTAATAATAATCAAATATAGAAACTGGATTTGTTTTATTTATATGAATGATAGGTCTCTCCACAAAAGGTCTCTCCACAAGGGATTAGAAGAATTATTTTGGAGGTGAGGTGTTAAAAAATAAATCTATATTGGATTAGAATATTTATTCTGCCATGAAACTAAGAACTATTATGCAACAAATGTTAATTTACACAGTTTCCAATAATCTTGAACAAAAATTTAATCCTCCTAGAAATTCGCACATACACTCAGCAGTCAGGAGTCAGCAATCAACATTTTAGAGGAGAACACAGCACGAGCTCAGCATACATTGAAAAATAACTGAACAATTCCCACAATTTTTCAAATCTCATCCCCTCTCATATTCCAAAATACTCTAAAAAATCAACCAATTTGCCTAATAAATAAGATGAATGTGTAGAAGTCAAAATATTAAAAGAGAACAGAGCAGCTCAGCACACCTCTAAAAATATCTTTTCAATTCCCACAATTCACATCCCAAAATACTCTAAAAAATCAACCCCTTGAACCCTACAAAATAAAATAATTCGATTCCTGTCGCTCCTCAACGCTCCTTAAAGGAGAACAGAAGGGCCTGGCCGAGAATCCAGTAGGAAACTCTCCCTCTCCTTGGGGTCGCGATCGACCCTCAGGCACCGGCATAATCGAGGAATCCCCGTTCCACCTGGAGTGAATCCGTAACCAGGTGACATTTAAAAATCCGCCGAAAGGAAAGGGAGAGGTCCTTCGCGGGACTCGCAGGTCGCACAGGCGCAGCTAACTGTGCCAGGTTCGCCCCCTCCTTGCGGGGGTGAACGCGTGTGCGCAATAGGCATGGCCTGGGTTCGGGAAGTAGATGCTCGGCGCAGTCGTGTCCCCTCGGCCGAAAACGACCACCGTTTTCGTATCCCTGTGCGCGGGTTCCATTCACGAATCCGTGCTGCGAAAACCTGCCACCTCTGCGCGGTCGCTGAAAAAGGGTGGAAGCGTGGACGAGCGTTGGTGTTCGTCGCGAAACGAGGTCGTCGAAGGCGTCGTCGTCGTTGAACTCGACAGGCGTGTCGTGAAATCGTTGCTCGGTCAGGGTTGGCCCTGAAAGCAACAGGGTTGCCCGTTTCCTCGACGTCGAAAAGGGTTGGCCTGCTCGGAAGAGTTCATTTCAGTTCGTCCGGTTACGACGGTTAAAGGTTCCCTTCACCGAGGATCTTCGTTTCGGGGCGCATCAACGCGAGATGTTCTAGGGTCGACGCCGGACGTCGTCGGCTATGAACGCGGTGGATTATGCCTGATCGTGGAACCGAGGAAAGGAGATAAAAGTGTTTTTTCGGGGCAAAAGCAACCCGGCGGGCGAGGGGGCTCCGGGATCCGAGCAACAGGTAATTTACCCCTTCTGCGGGGCACCGCTTTCGATGGTCTAGCATTTAAGGAGGCCTCGACGTCATCGATAAGATGAAGCAATTTTTGTGCGCCACGGGGAAACGTCAGAGCCAACCGTTACGCGCTGATTTTGATTCAATTTCGTGGGATATGTAGTTAGGCTAAGCGGTTTTGTCGTTGGTTGATTGTCGTGTCGAAAGGGGTGAAAGTTGGCCTCGATTTTGTGAATGAAATAGGCTGCGACTTCGTGTTAGTTAACTTCTTCGTTCGCACACGTACATAGTGGTTATGTTATTCCTTTCTTTAATGCATATTAGTTTGTTTTGTCTGTTTCATCGTTTGTGAATATTATCGAACCTCGCTAAATTTTGTAAAATATGTTGCAATTGCCATTTTATATGCTTATTTGTGATATATTCTCTTTATCTTTATTTAAGATTATGTAGATTGTGTATATATGTTAATAAATGTGTATGTTGATTGGTTTTAAAGACAAATGGTTTCTTAGAGGCATATTGAAATATATGTAAATGTTTCGAATGTTCGAGCCCTTTTCAATAAGTGTACTACCAACATATAATTAATCAACAGTCTTAATTGGAAATAAATAAAAAGAAAGGGCATGTTATTGTTTAGAGAAGAACAAGCAATGAAAGGATTAGAATAGATAGTAGAAATTGAAACTTGTTGTTAGATGTAACTTCATCCACAACTTTAAGGGTAGTTTTCACCTCTTGAATATCTTGAAAAATTATCTTGTTGAAGAATAGTTTGACTAACCAAGCGTTTTCAAACTAAGAACAATTGTTCCGTGGAAAATCGTAATTAGTAATTAAAGAAACATATTATGATAAATAAATTTTGTAGATTTGCAGAGAACAGCACTTTGTCGTTTTATAATCAAATTAAATCATTCGACATTTATTTTATACAATTTGATGACGCGTATGAGAAAATAGCAGATTGTTGACGTACACACTAATCTAAGATGTAGACAAATTATTTCACTTCGTGTTTTAAATTTCATTCTATATAAACGGAATTTATGTTTCTCTTGATTTTAAAGTTAAATATAGCCCACTTAAGTAAACTTAAGAAAAAATAAAGTATCGCGTCAGAACTCGACCGTCGATTGTCCCGTTTTTCAATTTTCCTTATCGTCGATGTGAATCGAGTACCAGAGTCAAATAGTCGCGGAATGTTACGTAAATTATTCGTCTTATTTAAAGGTCGAACGTAAACGAAAGTTTATCGTCGGCCTGGAAAGCAGATTAAAGGGGTCTCCAAGTGCAAGTAGGTTAACTACATCGTAGATAACAGACCACGGAGGGGTAGTTAAGTCTTTCGTCAGGGAAGGTGATTTATCGATGGAATTGCAGATTTCCCTATCCGATAAAGGAAAGTGCATTTCGTTCATTAAAGCGTGCTCTCGCCTCGCTTTTTCTTCAGCAACTCTTAACGCGCGTACATGCGTCGAAGGCGCTCATGCGGCGACGCTTTTTCGCAAATAACTTATTCTTTTTATATAATAAAACTCGCGTAGACTTACCTGAGTAGATGTTCCCAAGACAGCGTCGCGCGTCGGTTGACTTGTTAGATGAAAAAATCAGTCGATTTCGAAAGCTTATACTTTGGGAAGAAAAGCGTATTTTCGCGAGAAGATTACTTAAAACATTTATAGTTTTATAGTGTATGTTATCATGGGGTGGTTCTTGAAAGGTTTTGTAGTTTAAGTATACTATAAATACGACTTCATTTAATTTTATCATAGAGAAGATGGAAAATAGATTCTTTAATTTTTTAATGTAAAATTTAATCACTCGTAAAATTTATTTCAAGCATTTTTACACAAGTTTTAAAGTTTTATGTTATTTTTTTATTTATTTTATGTTATTAGAGGGTGGTTCTTGAAAGGTTATGTAGTTTAAGTATACTATAAATACGATTTCGTTTAATTTTATCTTTATTAGAGAAGATGGAAAATTCTTTAATCTTTCGATGTAAAATTTAATCATCAGTAAAATCTATTTAAAGCATGTTCGCAAAGGTTTTAATATTTTAGATCATATTTTTGCGACATGTATACTATTCTTCTGAAGGATTGCTATTTTGTTGAACTTTTGAATTACTTCATAAAAGTTTTAATTAATTCAAAAGTTTTAATTACTTTATCGTTTTGTGAAATATTCAATAACGCTATGTCGAGGAAAGTTGTTTCGCAATAATTTGATGAGCAGTTTTCAATACTTTGTATGCTAAAAAGTTTATAGTTGGTATTCTAACGAGTTTCAGAATCAGTATTTCTGTATTTCATGTAAATTTGCTGAATAACAATTAAATGTAGTCCGGTATTCACAATGTAATATTGAGGTATCTAAACTACGTGAAACTTCACTGTATGAAAATTTCCTTGACTGGTTAAACGCCACCGGTTTAATACTGCATTATTTATTACACTACTGTTATAGTAATCTCAGATTGAATCCATAAAATGTAGAATTTTTTCTTGAGGAACTCGTACTTATTTCTTACTGTTAGTAATGGCTTTAAATTCATTATGCCCATACAGTCGCAAATGCATCTCTAAGCTGCTTAATAATCTTCAGTTGTTAGGCAAAATCTGCAAATAATTATGTATAAGAAAAAAAAAAATACGACTAGAACCATATGGTGCGTCTTGCAGCTTGTGATCCTACAATCCTGCCATATGGCGCCCTATGCAGTTAAAGGCTTAACCCATATTAACCTAGAAACATTTCTGAGATATCAACCGACTCCTCGTACTTCTAAGGTACTTTTTGTTTATGTTGAATATTACATAAACTACAAAATCTTAGAAACACGGTCTCTCGTTTATTTTAATCAGTTTCGTGTGCCGTAGACTCTGGTCGGTCGATTGTCGCATGTTTTGTAACATTTTAGAATGGCGATTCCGTTAAAATTTGCGTCCAAGTGTGATCCGCGTAGTATAATACGTTTTTTTTTTACCGCTAAAAGCTTCACAGTTACAGAGATTTATCGAGAATTATGTTCTGTTTACGGCGATAAACGCGCGAGCCTGCAGATGGTTACGCGTTGGCGAACAGCGTTCCTAAATGGCCGCGAAGAGTTGCACGATAAAAAGCGCGAAGGACGACCAGCGGACGCAAAGTGGACAGAAGTCATTACGCCTTGGGAATTCAAAAGCTTGTTACTCGTTACACGAAATCTATTGAAAAATGTGGCGATTACGTAGAAAAATAAAAAATGGTCTGAAAATTTTAAAAAATGACCTTGTTTTGTGTTTTGATCACTCTTTCACAGCGTAACTAGACCGTTAAACTTACTTTCTGAACGACCCTCGTACTACCAAAAAAGACATGTTTCCAAAGTTAGAATTCATACTACATGTTCGCGCATTTTGCAACGAGATGGAAAGGGTTAAACATTTTAAAGCAGCTGTTTAATCAAATTGTTGTAGGAAAATACGGGCTCGATGCCGGAGGCTTCGGGATCAGGGTTGGCCGACGAGGCGGATTATTCGACTTTCGAGAATAAGACCGGCTTGGCCGACGACATGAAGTTTCTGGCGAGAATGCCAGAACTCTGCGATGTGACCTTCCTCGTCGGTGAGACCAGAGAGCCAGTTTGCGCTGTGAAGGCTGTCCTGGCGGCGAGGAGTAGGTTAGTATTTAGTTAGTTAAAAATATCATGAAGTTCTTACAAAATGCAAACATAACTTTGTAAGCTAAATACTAAGCAATGTGTCAAAGTTAGAATAAAAATTTGCGAAAAAACAGAACAGCAGTGACGATAATAATCCAAAGATAAAATAGATGGGTATAATAAGCGTGCGAAGTAAATATGAAAAAGGAATATGCAAACATACAGATACTTTGTTACAGGAAACGTGTTAATAATTATATAAATGTTTCACATTAAATGAAAATACAAATACAAATACGTGCGAAATGACGGCACCCACAGCCTCGAAGTGATTAGTGTTTTTCGTTCTTTCGATAGAGTGTTCCACAGAATGCTTTACCAAGCGCCGAGTCCGCAGCGCAAGAAGGAACCACCGCCGCGGGAAAACAAGATACGTCTGTTCCTGAAGAGAAGCTCCGAGCCGCTGCTGAACCTGCAGAACGCGGCGCAACAGGTAATTGCAACTATAACAGAACGATCTCTGCGATACATCTCACTTTCTGTCGATACAGATAACGTTCAATCTGCGATGTTTAAAAGTAAAATCAGAATTTAACGCAGGCTAAATAAATAAAGTTGCCGACGCAAGCACAAACAATGCGTTTAGCGATTTTTATTATTATCAAATTTTCGAAGTAAACGAAATCGTGACGAGTAGGTGTACGCTACAAAGTAATAATCGAGACAGTAAATGTATTAGGAATCGATTGGAGGGGATATTAAAATGCAGGGTGCACTTTATATCTTGAATTTTTTTCTGAAGGTCATTTCTTTCAAGGTCATTGGATGCATTCAGTGGACAGACCATGATCACTAATCCAATCACTAGAAACCATCGCTGTATTCTAGAAGGAATTAATATTGACATTTTACAATTACATGACGACAGTCAAAACCTGATTAATAACATTTCAGAAAAGCGATAGTATATACTGTGTCTTAATAAAACCACTAAGACTGTTCTACGTCTAAATCACTGTTTAAATTCGTTTAAATCTAGGTGTTCACAAATTCGGTGCCCTGGAAATTGGCGTCAAGATTTAAACAATTTAAACAATGTCACTTGTGTCATATATCAGTCTGATAGTCCTAGTGATTTTACTGGGTAACCTAGCTACAGAATGGGAGCTATTATGGTCCTAATCTTAAACACCAGGTAACAGAGTTGTACACTGCAGGTAAATTTCCTTTTTTTCCTTTCTTTCCATGATGCGTTTCGCTTTCATTTTCCTCCTTTTCTGGGACATTTCCATTAATTTCACTTTATTTTATGCCACGTTTTCCTTTAATTTCCCCTCATTTCCTAACACGTTTCCTTATAATTTCCCTACATTTCTTGCTACATCTCCTTTAATTTCCTTTAATATTCTGGTATATTTTCCACTAATTTCCCTACATTTCTTGCTACATCTCCTTTAATTTCCTTTAATATTCTGGTGTGTTTTCCACTAATTTCCCTTCATTTTATGCCACGTTTTCCTTTAATTTTTCTACATATCTTGGTACAATTCCTTTAATTTCCTTTGCATTTTCTGGTACACTTTCCATTAATTTCCTTCAGTTTTCTGATACATTTTCTTTCCATTTCGGTTTACTTCCTGGTATATTTCCTGGTAATAATATTCGAGATTTAGAATTTTGTAGATTTTTAAGGGTTTTCGATTTGCAACTTTGTTGCCCCTAGAATTGCGAGCATGGTTGCAAAGCGAAGTATCGTAGGTTGCCATTTGCAACTTCGTAACTGTAAAGTGTTAGAGGTGTTAGGCGGTGTCAGGAGGTGTTAGGATTTGTCAAAAGATATCAGTAGACGATAGAAGGTGTTAGGATATGTTAGTACTTGTCAGAAGTTGTCAAGAGTAGTCAGAGGCTGTTAGATGTTATCTTATGTTGTGTCAAACATGACAGAAGTGACACTGTTTAAATTCATTGAAATCTTGTCGTCAATTCACAACCTCGAAGCTCTGCATCGTACTGTAGCCCCCGATGCAGAAAATGGCGACCGATCGCTGATTATGTCGGAAGTAGCGGCTTAATGAGCTAACGTGATCGGCAGAAGATCCACTATGATCAGTGATCACTGGTAAATCGTCAACTGAACGCACCTATTGACATTTTCCTATTCGTGACGATGTATTTCTGTTACCACAGTTGTGCTGATTGAAACACCATTTTCTCCATGCATGATATGTTGACCTTTAGATGACCTTGAATGAAGAATCACTAATACCTTGAGAATGATAAAGAAATGAAATCTTTATGCGTTCCTATATAAGGGGATCAATATTTGTCAGTTCCAAAACAAGTACTGTTTATCACCTTTAATCTAGTCTATCTACTTTAAATTCGCATTTAACTTTACTAATTCGATTATACAGGGTGTTTCCGGATTAAATGGCCAAACTTAAAAAATGAATTTAGGACCCCAAAACAAAAAAAAAAAAACATTTCCTCTAGAAATATGCTCGCAAACGTTTCGTTCAAGAGCTATATTTACTTCTGAAGTTACATAATTATAAGAATGAATAATCCTGAAATATCCCTTTTCTTGTTTTGAAGATCAGCTTTTGTTTGTAAAGTGAAACATATTTATTTAAAACATATTAATTTTTATTTATTTTGAAGTCCTGAATTCATCTTTCACGTTTAGCCATTTAATCCAGGAATACCCTGTATAAGGAAGTACGATACTTGTTCTCTGGCTCAGAACCAAAAAGAAAAACTATAGAATTATACTGAATTTATTAGCCATTTAGATTATTCAATTAGATTGCCAGTTACAGGTAATTGAATCCTACATACAAGGTCTACCCGTTATGTTTTGTCACCCGTTTTTAGTTATTTCCAATAGTGCAAATAAAAAATGTTTTACACGAAAGTTGATCAATACTTGACAAACTACCACGTTCGGATATTCCTAAATCTTACCAAGTACTGATGAACTTCAGCCTAAACCATTTTTTAATTTTTACAGGATAATACCTAAAAAATGATGACAAAACTCAATGGGTAAGCCTATATAATTAACCCTTTGCACTCGAGGCCTTTTTTTCTGGTATCTGCCAACAACTCGAGATGTTTCTTAGCATTCTATTGCCGTGAATTCTAAGCTATCTAAATTTGAAAATAAGGTCACCTTTACCTCACCGACAATCATTTTATCGACACTTCGAGCCCCAAAGAAATGAAACCTAAAGAAACATTAGGTATTGTATCAGGTACCGGAAAAATTTTGTGCGGATTTTCAGAGAAAAATACAAATACTCAAATCTGTTTTAAATCATAGGTTTATTCAACGAAATGATCACCATTTGTCATCAATTTCATTAATGACTTTATTAATTTCTTTGCAATAAGTATCTGCAGTAATAGATTCTTCCAGTAGTGGAAGAAAATCAACGTGAACGGTACCTCGTGTAGTCCACCAAACAGTGATCAGCGCCTTCTTCGAATGAAGACTCGGTTTTGGTATAGGTCCTGTTGCACATGACCCCTTCTGAACCCAGTGGTGTGATCGTCGTACATCGTCATACATCGTCATATTTCACCCACTTTTCATCACAAGTTAAAATTCGATCGATAAATGGATATTGCGAATGTTCAGCCGGGAGTATTTGTTCTCTTCCGTTAAACGGTGCGGTATCCATTTGTCCAATTTTCTGTGAAAATTAAGTAAATGAATTCGCTTTCTTGCGGTAGATTCTTCGCATTCGAATACTTGAGCAAGGTCAGAACATCTTTTTCTTGGATTTGAACTTACATACTCGACGAATTTTTCGTCTTCGATGAGAGATGGACGCCCTGATGACGCGGTTCGTCATCTAGCGATTCATTTCCTTCTTTGAACCTTTTAAACCATTTCTGTGCGGTTCTTTCACTAACAGCACCTTCCCCACAAACTCTACAAATGCATCTTGCTGCATTTGCTGCTGTACTGCCAAGTTTAAAGTCGTAAAGAATAAAAGCACGAATTTTTACTCTTTCGCTGTCCATGTTTACTGTTCCTATAGCTACGCAACAACGAGACAATTGAACTCCACAGAGCATACATACCAATTACAAAGATCAAGCTTTAAAATGAAACCAAACTCGTGTCTTACAGTTGCCAATTACCACACGAAAATCGATATATAGTTACAATTAACGAATAAACCGCACGAACTTTTTCCGGTAACTAACAGATTTGCTGCGTGCAACCTAATGGTGACTGAGAGTCACCTCTCGAGTGCAAAGGGTTAACTCGATCAATTTCAACCTGATTATTACAAAAATTATAAAATATTCAAATATTGCTCCCTAATTGTACATTTCCAAGCTCTCTATTAAATTTCTCCAGCAATGTTTAGCGTACACGTGCTCTACCTCGCCAAAGCGAAATATCCTCCCACTTTGAACCTAACGATAACTGAGCATGATTATGAGTCCCGTAACTGGCGAATATCCATATACATACCACAATAGAAAAGAAAGTAAAATGTTCGACTCGAAGCCGATATACGCGCGTATATACGAGTACATTCCCATAAATTACGCGAATATACCGTGTTCGGCGCCGACACGGACACACAGCGCCGTTAAAATGATAGAAATAGTAAGTGTGCATTTGTTATGTGCCGTGTAGCGGTCAGGGTTCACGCAGCAGTTGGCTCCCATACAAGAGGTACTATGAAACGTCACTTCTGGATACGATTTTGCATCCGACAATCTTTTTTACTCGTCAGTTCTTCCTCTGTCCCTTTCACTTGTCTCCGCGTCGTGCGACTCGTTTTGGGATACTTATTATATCGCGACTCCGAAGCTCGTTTCGATTTTTGGTGTCCTCGACACTCATTAAGAGAAACTGTCGCGCGAGAATCAGCCTGTTTCTCTTTCACTATCTCGGTGTTGATTTGTGCGTCGACTCGATGGACACCCGACACAGAGTCCTATGAAGACGATAGAACTATAGTCTGTACGATTGCATGAATACAGATTCGCGCTGAGGTTGTGAAAAAATTTGTTAATACAGTAGAGCATCTTGTTCTGAGGAAGCATCTTGTTGCGAGGAAACGATGACGAAACGTAATTAGAAAGAAAAATTTGAAATTTCGAAAAAGGTGGGGCCAGCTTCACACGGGTTCGACCCCCTCTTTGTGAAAATTAAGTAAGCTTCACACGGGTTCGACCCCCTCTTTCGAATGTTTTGGTTTGAGAAGGTACATCCTCATCATTACTTTCGTTGTAAAATTTATCTTCTCATATTTGTTTATGTACTCACTTTTTAATTTAAAAGAAATCTTTTCTCACGCAGTTTAGATAACAGAGTATCCGTTTAACAGAACGTTCAGATGTTAGAGTATTCGGGTACGGGGAGCTCTACTGTATTTTTATTTATAGTACATAGTGCCAACAGAGTTGGGTAAATATTAGCGAGTACTAAATATTCTATTGGGTTGTCTGGAAAGTTCATGTCGATTTTTCATAGGTGGTACCTCGAAAGGTGGAAAGGTTGTGAAACAAAATGGTACTTACATACAGGGTGTCCACGCTAAAGTGTGACAGACGCATATTTCAATAACTATCGATGATACGAAAAAATTGTTTACATGTAAATTGCGGGATACAATGAGCTCTATATTGTGGCGTAAATTTTTGTTCTATTATTAATTTAAAAGATACGATGGTGAAGTTTTGTTTTTTAAATGGAACTATATATTTTTTGGGGGATGTATTTACTCGATTTTAATTAATTTCTAAGATAGAACGTTTCGAAGTTTACTGACTTTCACCGGAGAGCCCATTGTATCTTGCAATTTACATGTAAACAATTTTTTGTGTATCATCAGTAGTTATTGAAATACGCGTGCAATTACAATATGTAATTTAATAAATATATATTAAAATTCAAACGTGCTTTTGAATTTTTCTTAAAAATTGCCACGAACTTTTTGGACGGCCCAATATTTTAATTCAATTTTTCTGTGTGACTATGAAAATAAAATAGTTTATTTCTTGTACGAAGTCTCCAAACTAGTGACGCTTTAAATCATTTACTTTATTTGAATTTTTCCATTGTGAAATATTTAATTCTACAACTGAAATTAAAATTCAGTTTGTCTATTATTTCTTATTCAATATTTTTATGTAGATAATAGATTTACATTTGCCCATCCTTGCCTGGTACAAACGATACGAATAATTAAATTATGATATTGTTACCGTTGACGAATTTCACGCAATTTCACGATGTCAGCGCAAAGTGGTTCATTTTTTCGCTGAGAGACATAGAAGTTCCAAGCTATTCTACCCTACTTCCATATTGTCAAGTGTCTCATACATAAGGGTAGAATTCAGGAGATGCTATTAATCATTGTTAAACAAAATATTAAATTTACAAGTTAGGAGATTAAAAACCTAGTCTCTTAATTTCTCTGATGTGTCCATTTTTGTCTCATATCACCTTAAATCTTTAAGAATTGGCTAATATATATTTGCCGAATTGAAAATATCTTACGAACATAATTATGTACAATGTTGACTGACATTTCACAAAATTTCACATATTTCTGTGAGACTGTTCATTACATTCTGTTTTATATCAGTACAAAATCGAATCGTTAAATTAAATTTAACTCCGAAGGGAGGGCGACAGACGAGAATGATTAGGGAGCCCTTGATAAAAAAGCTAACATCTCAAACGCAAAATTACATAGAATACATACACAGTGGAAAATTTTATTCTCTTGCTTATAAAAGTCCACAGATTAAATGTTTGATTAGTTTACACAATTGATCTTAATCGATCAATTTATCTGATCTCAATTAATGTACTTACTCACATTCTCACTTAATTAACACGTGATTGTATTTAAAAAGAGAAAACAAACGATCATCCCAATTTTATGAAGTAAATAGGTATTTTTTAATTTGTAGTATTTAGTTGTAATGTTACACAGAAGTTCTGTAATGATAAAATACAGTAATTAATTAACATAATGATGACTATTTAATGAATATTTCTGTTAGTCTTTTATAAGACACGTGGTTTATTATTTAACGAATATGTATAAATAATATAAACAAAATGTAGACGTATTAAAGTTTCGATCTGTTGATAATATAGTAATTGCTCCTGCTGGTACTGGTAATGACAGTAATAATAAAATTGCTGTAATTATTACTAACCATGAAAATAAAATTATTTGATCATAATTTAAATTTCAATTCTTTATATTTAAAATTGTGACAATAAAATTAATGGCTCCTATAAGTGACGAAATTCCTGCAATACGTAAAGAAAAAATTGTAAAATCTACAAATAGAGTCGAATGATATAAAATTGATGATTCGGTTCCTGATCCCGAATAAAATATTCTTCTGAATAGTAATAATATTAATGATGATGGTAGTAATAAAAATCTTATATTATTTATTCCAGGAAAAACTATATCTGGAGCATCGATTATAATTTAACACTACCAGTTTGTTAATCTTGCACAAAAATGGTTAAAGTTATTATCAATTGACGTAATCATGATATGTTAAATTAATACAAAAATATTGATGGATGCTTCGAGACACGTTATTTGTTTTGAATTTGACACAAAATTTTCAACATTGTACTAAATTGTGTCATTTATTTCGCCTACTGAATTCACCCCTGAAATACTACATCTTGTAAATACCACATGTAAATATTAATAAATCACTCGTAGCTCCGTTCTGTGTCTTTCGGCAGGCATGCAAATTATTAGACGAAATTGCAGTCTGAAAGATCGCACACATGGATGGCCGTGTCACTATTGTATTGAGAAATATGCTGTAGCTGTAGAATCGCACGTTCCACGGTTTTCAATCTTCAGACGCGGCACAGATTTGATTCTGCAATTTTTCTGCACCTCACAGTTCAGAACGTAGTCGAGGAATTATGATGGTGTTAGATGCACAGTAGTTTGCCTATGAGAATCTGCACCTATGTCGACTGTGTCGTACTTATTCACGACACGGGAGTGTTCGATCAATTTCTGCCATTGCTTAAGCGATTGGTGATGGACAATTGAAATTGAAAGGAATTGAAGTGGCAAACGATGCGAGTACCAAGCAAACAAATTATTTTCCCTTTAGGGCAGAGAATAAAAAATTTTATTCGCAACTGTCCTACTGGAAAATTAATTTTTTATATTTTTGGCACCTTCACACATCGCTTATCGTTTCAATTCTTGAATTGCCTTCGGTAATCTCTCTTTAACTTGCGACGAAATTAATTTCAAAGTATTCATCTTAAAAGAAAATTCAAGCTTTAGAATCACGCTATTAATTCGAACAAGCAAATACGAGAAAATTAAATATTTCTATTGATTCGTTTCTCTAGCAGAGTATTATTGATTGGAATATTTATATACAAACATTGTACGTTTTCGAGTACATCGTACATTGCATCCATCACTAAATGTATCGTGCGAGTCGCTTAGCATGGATATTCGAGTTCAAGCCAAGGCTTGAACTATTGAACAGTCTTGTCGTTCGTATGAATACTTGAATCTTCTGCTAAGCCACAGCCGAATCAGCATCACACTTTAATCATCGAGGAATTCGAACCGGACGTGTTTCGACAGTTGATCGAGTACATCCACACGGGATGCGTGATGCTACAGCCTAGAACATTATTGGGTGAGCAACTAATTACCATTCTATTGATTTATAATGCCATACACTCAGACTTTCGTTCAAATTAAATAACAAAGTTAAAAGTCAACTTGTTCTCTTGATCCTTTTTCTAATCAATTGGATAACTAGGGGAAGGACTGTCGTAATTTAAAAGAAAAAATAAATTTTCTCTTAATAACCTTCAGAATTTTCGAGTTTCAAAAATAATTAATTGATTGAAACTTCGAGTTAATAAAAATATTTAGGCTACTTTGGATATCATTTATATATTTTCTCTCCTATTCACTTGTGTTTTATTGACGTATAAAACTGTTTTTTATCCTATTGACAGAATATGTTATTTTTACAATACTTATCTAGATTATCTAGATAGATGTCTTCTAATAATTTAGAAGTATCAAACGCATCAAGGTTTAATAAAAACATTTATTCATTTATAGTAACTCATCAATAAAATGTATCAATTATAAATTTCAATAACTCAGTCGTTTAATTAATAGTCTCTTTTTCCCTGCTATTTTGGATACTAGATTTCTAAAATTTCATTGAGGCAGTACCTTTTATTTTTCCACATAAACTCCCGCGCAGTAAATAATTGCCATAACTCGTAACCCTTCTTCAGGGTTATCTAGTCTCGTCTTTTGCGTTTATAGGTGTAATGAATGCTGCTGATTACTATGGATTAGACGAGCTTAAGAAAGCTTGCTCCGGATTCGTGCAGTGCTGTATAACGGTGGACACGGTGTGCGCTTTACTGGCATCAGCCGAACGATACATTCAGTACAAATGTACAAAATCTTTGGTCCAAAGGGTAAATAAATCAACACTTATATTTAAAAAGAAGATGGTTTCCACTTATGTATATTAATTTGCAGTTTAAGATTTTTTCTTTTCTTTTGTTGAAAACATCGTATTAAAATATTCACAACTTTCTTCTTGCTATATAAAGCAAGATTTAATTTCTGTTAAAAAAAATATATTTTATAACTCATAACTAGACTGCGGATTGTTATGCATTTATAGGAAATTTTAAAAATGCAAAAAATGCACACAGTATGCAATAATAAAAAAGAATATTGAAAGTAAAGTTCATATTATTATATTTGCAGAGTAAAATAATTTCCTTCTTTAGGCTAAATTGTTGTAGGTACGAAAATTCACATTTTCATAGATACTGAATCAAATTTTTAATTTAAATTAAAGTATCAAATTCCGAATGGTGTAACATATTCTTGTTGATATTTCACATATTTTTGCATTTGTATACATTTTCATAAATTTCTTTCTATTTTCATTTATCACAAATGCGTAAACGACTGCAATTTACTTATAACAAAAATGCTTGACTACCCGTTGATTAAAAATTTGTATCATTTGTGTTACAAATTGTTACAAGAAAAAATTATAGAGTATCGCAATTGTGTCCTTACTGATTGTTAGAGAATCCTAATCTCTTTGTATATTTTTTGAAAGGTGCTGGAATTTGTCGACGACCATGGCAACGAAGTGTTGAATCTAGGATCCTTCACTTTGCTTCCTCAACATGTAGTTCGTTTAATCCTGGCAAGGGAGGAGCTTCGCGCCGACGAGTTTGCCAAGTTCCAAGTACGTAGAGTCTAATTAATTGCTATCCTAAGGATTAACTGTTACCTATCAAACGAATTGGGTTACTTCTCAATTAGACGTGTCGCCATTTCCAAATGAAATGTAGTATATAACACAGATATTTTTATACAAGTAAATAAACGTAATAAAAATAAAGCGTATACGACATGTTCTTTCTGAACCAATTGTTAAAATATTCATTCTCTTTTCTATGGTTACACTTTTAACTGTCCATTTAATTTGTTTTCTCCAGTTAACTCATTCATTGACTCTAAAGACTCAATTTGTAAATTTGACAGTCGGAAACGTTCCAACCTACTCGGATAATTTTCCCCGTCACAGTTCGTCATTTTCAGTGTTCGTAATCATACCGTTCGAATGTTGTCATTAGGCGGCCTTGATGTGGAGCAAGAAATACTACGACAGCAATCAGACCACGCCCTTGAAGGACGTCATCGGCAACTTTCTAGAGTACATCCAATTCCACAAAATTCCCACGAACGTGTTGATGAACGAGGTCCGCCCCTTAAACCTGGTACCCCACGAAATCATGATGAACGCGTTGGCCTATCAGGTGCGTGTTGCTTTCAAGATACACCTTCAACGAACAGCTAACAGTTTTACTTTTCCGCTGTCTCTTACCGCTATTGCAAAATCGACACCACAGTTGTGTTAACTAACGATCGTCGTTTCATTTCTATCTCGTATCGAAACTTTGGATTTCAATCTGCGAAGCTACTTTCTCCGTTAGCTGACTTTGGTATTTTCGAGAATTCCCGACTTCGCAGAGATCAGTCGCTAAATCACACGTCTAAACCGTGACCATCTAATCCGACGGAGATTAATCTCTTCGAATACATTGTTACAAGCGGCACACTTAATATTGCACCAGGACTTTAGTCTGTGCATATCTCGCGAAACGTACACTAAAATGTACATTCTGCATAAAGGTAGTAACTGTTCATTAAATCTGTACAATTTACCTCCACCCGTTGGTTGTTGTCATAAAATTTCGTCCAAAAGATTTGCGATCGTAAGTGGATCAAAGTAAGAATATATTTCTCTGTAAATATTTCATTATCCCTTTGGCAACCCACTTTCTGTATTTTGGTTTTTTTTTTTTGTTTCGATGCATGAGGAAATAACATTTAAGTCACTGTACCCTCTACACCTCGATTTAGTTACGTGTCTCAAATTGCATATCCACCGGTACAGATTCGTTTGTATCGTACAGAAAATAAGAATATAGTTAATGTTTGAATTAAACATGCAGGTAGGCAGTACAACCAATATTATTTTGAATAATAATATACCGTTTTAAATAATACTTCTACTTATTTATTTCTAAGCATTGTTCAGTTAGTTGACTTCATTTATTCCAGTTTATAATATTCTAATCTTAATAGTTAATTATTTTATTCTTAGAAAGTTAATGCTTGTAGCGACTACCTACGTTTAATTTGATTATGAGTGGAAATTCAATTAAATAGAAAATACGTTTCTCTGGAATAAATTATTGTAATATCTAATTATTATAAAGATAATGCTCGCAGTGACCAGCTATGTCTATTTTTAATTTGATCACGAGTAGAAATCTTTCAAATAGAAAATACATTGTTCTGGAGTAACATTTATTTAATTCGTAAACTTAAAGGTAAATTGGTAAATAATATTGATCAGTGTATTTGAATAAAAACCGACTTCAAAATAGAAACATTGACGAATGATATCAAGCGGTGGATATGCAATTATGATTAGATATCCGTGGATGGTTTTAAGGGAACATTCCTGAAATATAAGAATATAGTAGAAAGTATTTTCCCTTAATCTACTCCCCCTTTATTCAGTATACTGGACACACACATCCTAATGTACGATTACTATGTCCATGATGTGTACATAAACATAAGTGCGGAATGATAGTTATTTAATTAACTATATAATTAAGATAATTACCTAATTTATTTTCTCTGTTTAAATACTTGCACTCATTTTTCAAAAATATATTGTCATTGTCAGGGTCTACTATTTGTTTATTCATATCATTTATAACATGAATTGGTATAGCAAGGAACAAGATATACGAAATCATGACATGCAGTAGTGAAAGTAGTGAAAAACGTGTGAAAGGGTGAAGTTCAGCGAATTGATGTATCGTCACCTAATCCTAATTGGCCACCACGCACAAACCAACGCTTCTGATCCCATATTATTCAGTAGTCGATCGATATACTATTTGTATTTTATTCATTCCGTCCCCAATTGTTAAGAAGAAATTCTTTCCCTAATGCTTCGTGCGATTCTTCTTTTAAAGTATCCTAATTTACCACTCGTACCCTTGTAAAATGTTTAATACATGTCAGTCTCTGCTTTATGCAGTATAAATTGTCTTCCCTCGTGAAATGTTTGATTCGATTGATGTCAGTGGCGATGTCGAATATCAATGATAATGTCAATGTCAATGATCTGTTGGAATCTCGTCCAGATAACTATGCCATCCGAAATCATTTATTTGTTACTTTCAACGTGGCGCTCGTGTCTCACCGTGTATATTTAGCTCCTTGTCTCTCCTCGGAGTAATTTTCCAATTGATTTGCTGCCGTGTACAGCGAGAGGGTACAAATTGCCTATTTCGTGGAATCGAACGCTCGCTTTGGAGACGTTTAGTCGACCGAGAAGAATTAATCGTTCTCGAGACAGCGCCTGAAAACGATTTAATATCTACTCGACGCTTTGTACCGACTCGACGACCCTCCTTCCATTATAAACCGTACTCAGTGTAAATTTACCGCCCTTTGTACTCAAACGGTCTCGAGTCAGAAGGGCGCGAGTCTTTTTGCAGGGAGTGGCCACATTTCGATCATTATATAGTCGCTATTGACCGGTATCAATTACTTATCACCCGTAGAATAGTTTTTTGTCACGTGAATAAATAATTGCATGTGTCGATACATTCACACAGAGTCGAACAAACGTGTTTGACTAAAGCTTCGAATAGAACTTTCATCATCACAAGTTTATACTCGTATAAAAAAATTAAGCGAATATTCCAAGTATTCATAATTGTTGATAATATGGCTCTAATGTTTCTATTCTAAATATCTTTAACATTTTAATGTGTGTGCCTCACAGTATATTTCTTCCTATTTAATATGATTATTACGATAAATTGACGAGAGAGTAGACTAAAATGGACGTTATTGGCCCGGATGATTGAAACACTGGAAAAATGACATTTTATATGCACCAATCTGATACATTCAGCGTTACTTTATTCCTCGTAATTGCATACCTTAAAAAATCCGTCAATTCAGTTCGTGTATCTTGGCCTTCTATTTTCACTTATTAGTAAAATTTCTATATTTTCATTAATATTTATTAAATTTAAGAAAATTTATCAACCAAATTTATTCCTTCCCTATACACGATGATATTCATTTCATGATAGGTGTAATGCTATTCAAAATATCACGCACAAGTTTTTGTCCAAATACGTGTGTTCAACGCCGTAGACATAGGGTAGGGTGGTTGAAATAGGTCACCTGGTTAATTCGATTATTTTTTAAGACAAACAAGAACACTCGAAGCATAAGCTGATTGACTTCATAGAGGAGTGTAGCGTGGTGATGTTCTTTTTTGTTTCAGGTAGAAGCGTCAAGGACACCTCAAGGTCATTAATCTTTTCCCAAATGGAACGATATTTTATTTTATTTACCTACTAATAGAAGCATGTAAGACCAGTACAGTCACTTCAAGGTTATTACATTCAAGACCATCCAAGGTCGTTAAAGGGCAATTCCAAGGGAAAATATTTTCTATACGAGGAGACAAATGTAACCGTTCATGAGTTTGCATCTTCAGGTACATAATAAGTTCTATTTTAAATGTTGTAAACGGTGACCTTCAACGGTGATACATACTCCAAGGTAGTACGATGTGGATTTCATCTTCGTCCAGAGCATCACAAGCTATTCTCTTACAGCTTTTTGTGTTTTTCTTAGCTGTTGTCATCTTGTTGTACATTTGTTGTACTGTAGTCTAACGGTATGTCTTTCAATACATGTGCTACAATATTTTTGTACTAGTCTATGACAATAACAAGTGTTCTAAACTTTCATAATGTTCCATGCGAATAAATATAAAATTGATGTGGTGTTTATTAACAGTAAGTGGCAATTCATTGTAAGAAAAACAATGAGTATGTAACAGAGATGGTTCAATGGTGGGCTAATCGTGCCAAGAACCGAGGAAGATGAAGAGAAAATGCACTAGCTATTCGAAATCATTCAAGAATATTTACAACATTTAAGTTCGAACTTAATATACAGTAGTTATTACGACGAGCTGGAAGGAATATTAATGAAAGAAATTGAGGTAGGATGGACATCTTTCATCGTGCTAAATTTCAATTTATTCGAATAAAAAATTTAATAACTATACATTACTAACAAAATTTCAACTATTCAAACTAACAAAAACTTCTTTCGATGTTTAAGGACTCCATATTTCATCGCTGCTAAATCACGTAATTTTTTTAACATAAATAACTGCGTAGAATTACATTCTCTTTGTGCTTTAAACCACCGGGATCTTTCTGCCACGTGTGCTTCGCTGTGAGAGGGCACGTTGTTACTTTCGTTTACTGTGTCAGCCCTTTGAAAATTTATATTTTTACTTTCTCTAAAATGTTTGGATAACAGAATATTCAAATAATTAACGTTCGTTAATATTATTTGATAATATTAGTCGTATCTAAATGACAGAGACAAGAAAACTCAAACAATGCGAGATTTTTCTTTATTAACAGAAAATTCGTGTCGTGTGTGTGGACGAACGGAGACAAATGAAGATTCTTTGGTGTTCTTTCTAGCTCGCTATAATACATCTGTCTCCTGATATCAAATATTGTCTATCATAACAGTTCATTAGTGATCTTACACTGGGTGTCCTAGAATTAGTGCAAGAACCGGTAATGGGGGATAGCTTAGACGATTCTGAACCACAATTTCCTTTACAAAAATGTCGGTGGAGGCTTCGTTTTTGAATTATTAACGAAAAATCACTGACCAATCACAGCGCCCAAGCAGCGCGCTCTCAGCTGATAGCGAGCTAATCCCAGCTCGAGCCAATGCTCTTGCGGCTGAACGCGGGCTATCTGCCGTGATTGGTCAGTGATTTTTCATTAATAATTCAAAAACGAAGCACTGTTCGACATTTTTACAAAGGAAACTCTGGTTCAGATTTCCCTCAGTTATCCCCCCCCCCCCCTTTCCAGGTCTTATACCAATTCTAGAACATCCCGTATAATCTTGAACGTCACTTGACCGTGTCAGTCTTACAAGTTTCCACTGGTACATAAACAAAAAAAAACCATGTTTCATTTATACAAAATTGATGACCTTAAAGTGTCCTCGACTCGAACACCTGGAGCTAGAAAAGTGCTCCTTCCACGGGATCGCATAACCTCTCTTTGAAACATTATATCTCCTGATCCAAGATGAAAAGAAACCCAAAACTCCAGACTAAGAGAAGAGATTGATCGTTCTGTGGTCGTCTCCTTCCCGTTCCTCCATTCCCTGTCTCCAAAATTACGTCATCGATCCAGGTGACTCCTTTCAACTGCCCTTAAAACGTCCGCAAACAAAGTTCCCGAACCGAATCGCAGCCTTCTGACCAGACGTCGCTCGCTTACCTCCACTGTGACACGTAGGACGTCTAAGGTAGCCTTAAAAGTGATCTGACCCGAGGGTTTGTTGCAGGCAGACCCAACCAGTATCGACCCGGGAAAACTCTCCCCCCACAGAGTGAGGCGGCCAGGTTGCAGCATGTCGGTGCAGTCCTCTGTGGATCAGCGCGGTAGCACCACGACATTGAGCTCGAGTGGTTCCGACGCAGGCTCCGATCAGAAACAACATTCAGGTAGCAACTAACCTCCGGCCACGGCCGCACTGACCGCGGCCGTTTCGGACGAGTCCCGACGCGAGGGAATTCCTATTAACGATGCGGTCTCGCACCCGCTTGAAGGTAAAAACAGCACAGCGGAGCAGGAAACGGCCAACGAGCAGCTGCAACGGCGGCCGAGCGTGCAGACACACCCGGAGGAAGAGGACGTGCAGCGGCAGATCGAGCAGAGGTATCAGCTGCAGCAGCAACGAATGGAACAGGAAAGGCTGGAGAGGGTGCAACAGGAAGAGGAATTGAGGAAGCAGCAAGAGGAGGAGAAGCACCAGCAGGAGCAAGAGTTGATGAGGCAGAGGGAACGGGAGCTGATGAAGCATCAAGATGAGGAAGTGAAGAGGCAACGGGACGAGGAGTCGAAGGGACAGCAGGAAACGGATATGAAGAAACGGGAGAAAGAGGAGAAGAGGGAAGAGGGGCTGAAGAAGGAGCAAGAGAAGGAGGAGACGAAGAAGAAGGAATTGAAGAAACAGGAGAGAAAGGAGTCGAAGAAGGAACTGAAGTCGAAGAAACAGCAGAAGGAGGAGTTGAAGAAGCAGCAGGAACTGAAGAAGAAACAAGAAAAGGAGGATGCGGAGAAGAAGGATCAGGAGAAGGATGAACCGAAGAAGCAGGAACAGAAGAAGAAACAAGAGAATGAGGAAGCGAAGAAACAGGAACTAAAGAAGGATCAGGAGAAGGATGAACCCAGGAAGCAGGAACAGAAGAAGAAACAAGAGAAGGAGGAAGCGAAGAAACAG